GCTGGCACAACCTGTGGGTCAGCACAATATATGAATCATTAGAACATATATGGGCTGACAGAGGCTATTAGCAATTAAGGACCATTTGGCATACATACATTATTATTACCCCATTTTTATGAACGGGAAATGTTTCAGCCTGGAGGACAAAAAAAGTATGTATGTACAGTAATGTACTACAGTAAAATAATTTTACATTATAAATAAAACTCATCCCTTCAGAATACTATACTGTAAAAGAGGATAATTGATTTTAAATGGAACCTTTCTCTCATGGGTCAGTTGGCTTAGGATCAACTATAGTGGATGGGTTATAGATTAGATGCCATGACTAGAACAGAAGGTCCATATAATGGATAGTTCTTGGACTAGATATTGTTAACTCTCCACATGATGTAACTCAGTCAAGGTAAAGTCCTTCAAGATTGAAAATATGGAAATGTCACCCCATCTTCAAAAAAGGGCAGAAAGAATTCAGCAAAACTACCAACAAATAGCGTATTCCCCCATTCTCCCACAGAGAATGGATGAAATCTATGGGATGGAATAATTCAACAGCTCACAGTGTGCAATCTTGTAAAATCAACATCATAACATAGTTTTGTTAAAAATAAATCCTGCCTAACTAGCCTGCACACATTTTTGGAAATGGTGATCAACTGTTCAGACAACAGACTTCCAGGAGATGTAATGTACAGAATTTCTCTAAAACTTGTACTAGAGTACCTCATGGAACAAATGGCAAAGTACTAGAATGGGAAAAACAATAGTTACCAGAGCTAATGTGAGACTTCATTCATTTTTTAGTGGCACCATCTCTCTAGTGGCCTCAATGGGGTTGGAAAGCAAGAAAGCAGTTATCCTAAATGGAAATGAATTTGACTGGAAGAACATGAGTGGAGTATGCAAAGTTCCATTTTGGGGGCTAACCCCTTTTTTTGCTATACTTTATACATCAGTGACATAGCTGAGAATATTACAAACCACATTATTAAATTTGAAGATGACATAATAATAATAATAATTTATTTGCAAGAAGGTACAATGGGTTGATGAGATTACATAGGATTGGTATTTTTACATTCATACAAAGCCACTAACATGCATAGCGTTTCTGGCAGCCATAAAGATCTATAGTAAAGTGGGAAGAGAAAATGATATTGCAGTCTTGCAAAGTGATTTACATGAACTCTGAAAATGGTCGGAAGCTTCAATAATATCAAATTTTCTGAGAAAAGAGGAAGGTGGAGGATAGGAGATGATGGAGAGAGGAGGATAAGACAAGAAATAAGAGACGGGGGAGGGGAGATTGGGAGAAAGAAGAGGGGAGGGGGGGAAAAGGGACCTGGACACAGCTGGGAACCCTGTCTAGTCCCTTATAAAGAGTGTTACAGTATCAGCTTATATTCAGTACCTATATTTAAGCCTGTAATTAATACTGTACATCTATACTATAAGAGAAGAGAATGTCTTTATGGATGAGAGCATGTCCAAAGTTGGAGGCTACATGCTTGGGGTTAGTCTCACCCAAATTAGCAGAGGGAATGGTCTGGGGCATGGGGTGAACATAGGCTGGTCAGGGTCACCATAATTCAAAAGGGAACAGCATGCCAGTCACATTCAGACTCTTATGATGATTTTTGGCACTGTCAGCTAGCTACACAGTTAAAAATGTTTAAACAGTAATTAAAAAAAATTATTGTAACAATATTTTTTTTTTTTTTTTTTTTTTTTTTTTTTTTTTTTTTTTTTTTTTTTTTTTTTTTTTTTTTTTTGAGATATATACAAGAGTTGTTACATTCTTGTACAGCCACTAGTACGCGTAGCGTTTCGGGCAAGTCCTTAATCCTATGGTCCCTGAAATACGATCCCCTGCCGCGAAGAATCGTTTTTTCATCCAAGTACACATTTTACTGTTGCGTTAAACAGAGCCTACAGTTAAGGAATTGCGCCCAGTAAATCCTCCCCAGCCAGGATACGAACCCATGACATAGCGCTAGCGGAACGCCAGGCGAGTGTCTTACCACTACACCACGGAGACTGCTCTACCACTAATCTCTACCACTAAACCTCTACCACTACCACTGCTAATATCACTGATCTTGAAAAAATGAATAATAATTTCCTGCTCTTCAAAATTTGCCAGTACAGTAGTCACATAAAACAAATGCACCTCCCACAGCATCTATGGTTGCTGAAGCTTCTGATCCACTTTCTCACTGTAAATGGGGATTGTTGTTGTTTAGAATGGATAAACGGATGACTCAATAGATGAATAAATAGATGGATATAATGAAAGAAGGATGGCTAGAAAGATAAATGGACAGATGGATGAATAAATAATGAATAGATGGATATAATGAAAAAAGGATGGCTAGAAAGATAAATGGACAGATGGATGAATAGATGATCAATCGATTGATTGATCATATAACATAGATAATAATAATACCTGTAATAATAATTTATTCACAAAAAGGTACAATGGGTTAGTGAGATTACATAAGATTGGTATTTTTACATTCTAGGAAAGCCACTAACATGCATAGCGTTCAGGCAGAGAGCGGATAAAGTGAAGGATAGATGGATTGACAAATAAAGAAAAAGGCTGCTAGAAAGATACATGGATAGATAATGGATGGATAGGTAGTTCAAGTTCAAGTATGTTTATTGAGATAAGCAATAAATACATCTCAAAGGGATAGAGTAGCTTAGGCTATTTCTACCCCCTCTACTTCAATTCCCTCAAGGGGCGCACAAATGCTGTGAGTACAAATAGACAAATTACAATACAAGAATCCCATTTAACATTGCAGGTTAATATAGTAAGTACAACATATGGTCACTGCTTGCATCACAAGCGGGGATGTTTCTGGCGGGGGAGAAAGAAACAATTGCGCAGCGCGTCCCGCGGCGTTGCGCGGGCAGTTTGGGGCCGTATAAATACGGGCGCACAACGGGGCTCCGCCTCACTCCGCCTGCCCTCGCCGCTGCCCTCGCAAAACCCCACCCTCCCCCCCTTTGCAAGCGGCTGCTTTTGTACCCCCGTCATGCTTTGCACAGATGTCCCGATTGTCTCCCCACTGCATGTGGGAAGGGGGGTGCAGCGCCGGTCCCCAAGTGTCCCGCTGTCCGCAGCTAATACTTTGCCCAGTCTAGGTGCTAGTAAGCCCTACTTGTAGTCACACCCCCTTCTCCTTATCCATTAGGTCTTTTACGGCCTCTTGGCCGGGTACATTACGTGTTATGTGGTCTCTCACTTATTAGTTATTCTTTGTGTCCTGCCTGTTATATCCTAGTGTTATATAATTACTACACATTTGCACTCGGCCTTAATTCTAGTACCAGTTAACCTTTAGGTTTCTGCAGAATTAGTTTCCATGTCACTATAGGCTAAGGTCTCATACTTACTACGGGTGTACCTTTTAAGTTAAATCTAGTCCTTGGAATTGTTACTGTTAATTCTTACTTTATATATTTACTTTATATATTTACTTTATATATTTTAATATAAACGTTATATATTCCTTAAATTATATTTGAAACTTTGTATATTTACATGTTCAATATTAAGTTTTATATATTATCAACTTTGTTAAGTCTATAATATAAACCGTGTTTAATATAAACTTTATATAATTACTTACTTTATGTGAACTTTATATAATTACATGTTCTGCAGAATTTAATCTTCAATAAACTTTAACGCCCCATACTGCCAGTATCTTTCTCCCCCTGGTCAGAAAATAATTGTTACACTCTTGGGGCAAAATTCTTGTAGCCCCTAAGTATACTGTCTATCAAACCATTATCACACATCCAAACAATTTAATGTGGAACACTATTTATTTCCTTATTTCTATAGTTTTCAATAAGTTGACACTCTAATACATAATGTTCTAAGGTGTGGGCGTGCGGCATACTACATACTACATAGATAGGTAGATGCACAGAAGGATGGATAGATATATGAAAAGAAGGATGGTTAGTTGGACAGATGGATAAATAGATGAGTAGGATGTTATAGATAGATTGATGGATAAATAGATCGACAGATAGATACATTGATGGATTGATTGATCAACAGATTGATGGATGGATGGATAGATATTAGCTAGATAAATGAATAGATGGATGGAGAGATGGTTAGATAAATGAATAGAAAGATACATATGCAGATATATGGATAGATTATTATTATTATTATTATTATTATTATTATTGTAGATGGGTGGATAAATATATGGACAGATAGATGGAGCAATGGATAAATGGATGGAGAGATGGGAGACAGACCCGGGCAACGCCGGATACCCTAGTATAAAATATACATATATATATATATATATATATATATATATATATATATATATATATATATATATATATATATATATATATATATCTATATATCTATTCTGCAGCAAGTGTCATGTATACCAGTATTGTAAATAACAATCTCAGTGAAAATTTGCATACATGACATAAATATATTATAAAGGCGTTCTCTCCCCCGTTACGGTATTCTCATCCCTATACACGAAAAACTCTGCATTTGAACGTGATGAGCTGTCAGAGGTGTTGTTCTATTCGTAAATATCCTGTTATTTTTAGTAAAATATATAGCTATTTGGCAAACTATCCATAAAGAATGGTGCATTGTTGTATTTACAAGATGATTTCGTGACAAAATAACCGTGAGATATGTGAGCAGCTGTGTTCTTGTGATAGGCACTGAGCCGAGGCCACAGCCACTCTGTCACCATCAGATGAGTTCACGACACATCATCCAAATACAAGCATTTCCAGATCATGTACCGTCGACCATTTCCTTCGACCACCACCGTCGTTATGCTACTCTGTAAACGCACCAAACATTTTATTATAATTAATTATTAATGAAGGTACATATCAATTAGATAGATGGCGAAGGAGAAGAATTTTATGCGCGAGTGACAGCTCGTCGCCACAACCCGAGTTTATCACTCTCGCAGCTGACGAGGGTTTGAGCCCGAGGGAAGTGTCGTCCTGCTGCCTTATAAACATCTTCCTAGACACCTTGCCTGACACACCATTATGGTGCTGATGGTGATGATAGCCAGGGCTTCCGACGGGTTGCCGCTGGCAGCTTCCCTCCAGGATGACGAGCAGGTGAGGGTGTGGACGACGGCTGGTGAACCATGTATGGGGGCCATGCAAGGCTATCTCGTCATTTATTTCTTCCTTGTGCATTATAGTTCGTGGCTAGTAAGCGCTGACAGGCAGTCATTACACGAACAACCCGCATTTAAACGAACACTTTTAATAGCGTTGTATATATAATGTGTTTTAGTTTGTTCAGTGAGGGAATGACTCATTGAATGACTCATAAATAAATTCAGTGTCAGAAACAAGACAACCATCCTTATCCTGCAACAACATTATCCATGTATGGCTTAGATGTAAGGTAATTATCAGGTGAAAGCACCAAGCCATTAACCTATATATAGGGCTTGGAAGGAATCTGAGGATAAGGATTATCCTGTATTTTAGGGCGAAAGAAAGAAATGGTGCCCAGTCACTTGAACGTTCAGGGATTGAATGCCAATCTGCAAGAATCAAGACCATTACTATACTTGTACCATCCATTCAAAATGATTAGGCATATCTAGTTGAAAGGTGTTCATCCCCCATAACAGCTGCTGGGACATCCCTACTGACACCATTACTTGTCATATAGCGAACATGCATTAATTTGAGTTTCATCATAAATGCATTATCATCACTCAAATTGAAATGGGCAGAATTTATCTATATCCATTTGTGTACATGAACACTTTACATGTAATGGCCCCTTCACCCCCCCCCCTCCTCCACCTGCATGTGATATAAAAGTGTACATGTTTCAGTAAACTCAGTTTACTTATACTGTACAGTACATTAAATGCTAAAGAAAATTATCCAAACTTGGCTGAAGGCCACCCTCTCCTTCATTTTGATGTTGACAGAAAGCCAGTAGCTTGTCAGTGATTCCCCCCCCCTCCCCCCCCATTGTTCCCAAGGATTTTTTCTATCTAGATTTTAAACAAGTAGTGACAGCATTTATGACTTTGGCAAGTAGGTGGTTCCATACATTTATAACCTTATGGGTGACCCTGTGGCTATCTTGCATTGGTTCTGAGGATCAACATCTCTTTGGCCTGGTCTCTGACTGGGCCTCCCCCTGGTTGGTGAACTAGTCAACCAGGCTGTTAGACACAGTTGGTCACATCTTGATGTATAAATCACAATCTGGTTGAAAAGGTATCCTTTGAAGGTGTTTATCACATTATCTTTTGAACACCACAAGAGGTTGGCTACTTTTATGTAGTTATAACCCTTATGTTTAAAGGGAGTGTTGAAAAGTCTTGGACCCTTGATGTTGATAGAATCCTTTCTATTAATAATTAAATTTAGAAAAAGGCAAATGTTCCAATATTCAAGAAAGGGGACAGACATTAAGTACTAAACAATAGACCATGCATTCCATGCAGAATGCTGGAAAAAGTCATAACATTTGGACGGAGTAAATTTTGTCACAAGAGGCACAACACAGCTTCAGAGACGGGAAATTATGCCTAACAAACATTATTGACTTCTGTGATAAGGGTATCAAATAAAACAAGAGAGTAAAGGATGAGTAAGCTACATCTTCAAAGAGTAGCAGGCAGCTTTTGATAGTCTCTCATAAAAGACAACATGGAGAGAGAAGCAGGAAGAACAGGAAAGACACTGTCTAAGTATGGGAGTACCTGATGGACAGGAAACAAAAGGTCATAATTAGATAAGATATGTGAGGCTGGAAAGAAGTGGAAAGTGCTGTTCTTCAGGATTCTGTCCTAAGACTGTTGCTCTTTCTAATTTATTTAAATAACATAGCAGAGGGAGTGAGCTCATACATATCTATATTTTGCAGATGGTGAAAAGTTAACGAGGGGAGTAAGAACTGAAGATAAATGTAGGGTGCTGCAAGAAGTCTTCGACAAACTTCAGATGTGGACAGATAAATAGCCATTGGTATTCAAGCCAAATAAGCATAAAGTAATGAATATGGGTAAAGGAGATAGACCTATCTTGAGGTTATCTTAAGATAATTTAGGAGATTGGCATCCCCGCAGCCCGGTCCTCAACCAGGCCTCCTTTTTGTTACACATTCCCAGGAAGCAGCCCATAACAGCTGTCTAACTCCCAGGTACCTATTTACTGCTAGGTAAAAGGGGCATCAGGGTCAAAGAAACTCTGCTCATTTGTTTCCGCCTCCACCAGGGATTGAACCCAGAACCTCAGGACTACAAATCTGAAGCGCTGTCCACTAGGCTGTCAGGCTTCTTTAGTTACCTGCAGGTAACTACACCATAAGGGAAAAGTAACTGTAAGAAACTTAAGAGAAAACCTGAGTGTGGATATAATCCCAACACTAACACCAGAAGATTGTGGGAACAGAATAACATCACCAGCATGTGGGAAATTAGCAAGTTAAAAACATAATTTATATAACCCCAAGAATCAATGTATGACAATAACTGCACTTTAATCGCTAAAAAAATCTTATTTCATAATACTGTATATAAATTGCATAAAAAAAAGTTGTAGGCTTTGTATTATTGTTTCCAATTCATTTGTAATGTTTTGTAATGGACAATTTCAGTCTGGCAGGAATCTTGTGGAGTATCAAAACCAAGCCAAAATGCTTTTCAAGAAAATTACTCCAAACAGCCCAAACAAATGTTCTATAGAAACGGGTCCCTACATCTTCCAGTAAGTACCTGTATCATATGCCTTGTATTGATTTGTGATAGCAAGTGTAATACTATTATTTGTCCCAATAAACAACAATAATGTAAATGTTATAATTAAATTACATAAGATTAATAAAAAATTTGAGTATTCTTCTTGCTTTAATATATACAGTATATGTATTTATATTTATTACACATTACACTACATTAGACTTTATATACCACTCTTTCTTGACACGACTTGATAATGGTCCACGATGGACCAAAATGTTGTCACTGCCTTTATTTTCACACATGTAGGTTTGTGTCTAATTTTCAGCCACGTTATTGTGAATTATTGTCTACAAGATGAATGTGTTGATGAATCAAATTATATATGTGTATGTATGCACTGTATGTCTATTTAAGGTTGGAGATCATATGCTTGGGGCTAGCCACAAATTCTTTCACTTGGTAATACTCTTCAAAAAAAAAATAATTGTAGTATCGCTGATAGCAATTACCATTGCCTGCTGCCACTTCACTCTCCAGGTTTGCTCACTTCCCAATCAATTTAGAATTTCCTACCATTTTAAAATCATTTAAGTACTGTACACATAAGACATGGTTCTCAATCACAGAGGGAAAGGCACATAAATATTAAAAGTAAAGAAAAAATAGCCATTTTTTTTATTGGCATTTGTTACAGTAACAAGGCAAGAGAGTAGTGCAAAATTTGTAATAAATACAGTACCAGTATTGTATCAAATGTAGATCTGAAAATTCATAGGTGCAGTGATGAGGGTTCGAACCTATGCGGTGGATATTCCCATGCACACGCTTCTAGCAACTAGACCATGATAGGCTTCTAGCGAAGGGGGGATTGTATGAAAATCCTGGTCTGGCTTTAATAGAAGCCTCGGGAAATCCTGTGTGGTCAGTAGAACTCCAGGTTGCAATCCTTATACCATGTCGTGGTCTAGTCGCTAGAAGCGTGTGCATGGGAGCATCCATCACAGGTTCGAACCCTCATCACTGTTCCTATGGATTTTCTCATTGAAACAGTCACGTTAGTGTGATTACTCTGTGAAATGTAGATGTGTTGTCACAGGCCTGTTTACCAAGTATGTTTCATGAGGTGGTCGCATTGATACTTCTGAGCAAGATTACATTTTTAGTAAATTGTAGCAACATGCACTTATACACACATGTGCATTCAAACATTGACAATTATTTATACATGTGCATGAAAAGCTCATTCCCTCTTTCATTCACCTTTAAAGGTAATTATTATTAAAATATAATTTCTTTCAGTTATGTTATTGAGAATGAAGCCTGTCACTTGGTACTGTGTGAGAAAGGGTACAGTAAAAAGACTGCTTATACCTTTCTAGAAGAAATGGCTGCAGAATTTACAGCTCAGCATGGTCGAAAATTATCACAAGCAACTAGACCATATTCCTGCATAGAGTTTGGTAGGTTGATGATAGATATGTGAAAGTACTTCACAAAGATAGATTAATTAAGAGAAATGTAAATTACCCTGAGGGAAAAATATGATAGAAATTTCTAATAAGATTATACAGTACTCTACTGCAGGCATGTCAAACATGTGTGCCGCAGGTGGCCTTTTGCAAGCACACCTGCGGCCTGTACAAAGGATACTGTAATTTGGTGTATAATATAATAAAATAGAAAAAAAATATTCTACAATAATTTTTATTAAATGACTTCAATTAGTTGTCGTGTGTCGCCCTCATGATAACATAATGTGACCCCGTACTCCACAAACACATGACGAATCTACAACGTTGCTACAACATTCGAACAAGTTGTAACAACCAATATAGCAAGTTGGAACACTGTTCTAATACATCATAAAAACATTATAACATGTAACAACTTAATTACAAGCTGTAACAAGCAGAAAATAGGGACAGTTTCATTGTGTGTTTGCAGAGTATGGCCCTCCGGGGACCCTTGGCTTGACATGCCTGCTCTACAATACTCCTACATTGTAATTTCAAGTAATGTTCACATTTTGAACTAGTATTTTGTAGAGGGCACAAAAAATAATCACAAAACCCAATTTAATCATTAGGCCTAGTATAGCACATATACTACAGTATATTAGACCTAGGAGTGCTTGGACAGAATAGGTTAGATTCTCCAGTTACATTTCCATTTTATTATGTCATTTGGGCTTATTTGTTAATACAAAATGTAAAGTCTTTTGGGTCCAGTATTTTGTATGTTTTACCAAATTGTAGCTATAGGTACTAACATTTTAGGAGGTTGATTTATACATATAAAGTAATTTTTTTATTAGAAGCTTGGAAAGGCATTTTTGTACTGATGACACATTATCACGTTAACTAACATCAAACTGATCATTGACCCCATTAAATCAAAACATTTTCTAAGTTTGTACAGTTAACCCTTTGTGAAGCACGTTTAATCAAGGCAATTTTGTCATAACTTGGTTTTCATTTGGTGACTATTTGTTTAAACTAAAGGCAATATAATTGTATAATGCTCATTATTATTATTATTAGATAACACACATTAACAGCATACTCATTTGTTAAGTCCAGAAAAACATTTCCACTCCTTCTCTCAGTTTTCTCCATACACAGCATCACCTACCACTCCCACCCCATACACATAGTGAACACCTGAGGCCAGCTATCACCACCATACCCCACACAAGCAGCACTCGTGTGTAGTTACAGTGTGATCACAAGACTAATGAGCCCTGAGAGAATCATTCACTTGTTTCCTCCTCACACTTACACCCATTCTCAATCACACTTCACCTCTCCCTTTCCTCACCCCCACCCCCTTCCCACCTTCTTTCCCCAACTCCCATCCACACAACAAAGTCAAGTGTGATCACACGAAGCCCAAAAGAATCACTAGCAAGGCTCCCTCAGTCCAGCTATGCCTGTGCCTTGTGTTGTTTACACAGGATATTAGTAAAGTTTTTGGATATTTTATATGAAAACTAAGAGGAGAAATAGTCCTAAAAAAGTCACCAATTCTTAGTTTTAGAATCAAATATTCAATTTTGTCATGTTTTGGAATGTAAGGCAATTTTTGTTATAATTGCTCAGGTTTATATAGTGTTTTTAGATAACATGCTGTTTTCTAGGAAAGTAATTGCCGCATTATATAAGGGTCGCCTGTACTGTAGCTCTTATAGAAGGTCAAATTTAAATTCCCGTGTGGAACCGAAAGTGTATTGTATGTCTTAATACATATGTTTCTTTGATTTGATACTGCAGTACATATACTGTACTGTAGTTATTTCTTGAAGAAACCTTTAATGTTTGCTTCAGATTTTGACTCGTGACATATAGAGTTTAGTTCAGTATGTTTTATGTTGATGTATAGTGATATAGACAAATTATGAGCTCATTTAAGGGGCTGAGAAGTTGAATTTGTATGTTACATTATTTTTTTAATTGTATGTTAAATGTATTTATGTACATAGTATACAATAAGCTATTATTTACAATAGATACCTACATCCAGAAGCTTCGTCGCCAGTATAGTGATCAGCGGGGACGCCGTCATTTACATCAACTAAGAGAAGATTTAAATGATGTGCAAAGAATCATGATGGACAATATAGATGATGTCTTACAGCGAGGAGCAACTCTCTCAGGTAAGAAGAGAAAACACATCAGACTTTAAACATGCAAGTATTTTTTGTGGTAGAGGTTAGCAGCTTTTCACTGACATTAGGCATAATAAACATGCTCAATCTTAAATCTTAAACTACAAGGTACATAATTTGAAATTTTATAAAGGGAGTGAATGAACTTGCAGAATATATAATATTAGGTTTTACCATCAAATATTAGTTATCATATATCAGCTGGATGAGGTTAAAATTATGAGCTCTAAATACAAGTAAGATCTAAGAGTCATGATTTGTAGGGATCTTGGCCCAAAAAATTAGTGCATATGGAATAGAGAAAATAGAATACCGAGATTTATTTCTAGAAGTACTGTACCTGTATTAGCAACACGACATGTAATGTTCTTCAACTTTGTCTTGCAATTGTTAGACCCTATTTAGATTATGCAATTCAATTTTGGTTTCTGTAAATTTTATAGTAGAGGCCAAAACTTCACTGAAACATGACAGAAATAGTTTAAGTCAATGTATGATAACTGCATTACCCTGTGAATCAACTTCTGACAATAATTGCATTTTTAAGGGTTAAGCCTTTATCTTGAAGTTCTGGTCAAGGAGTTGCTGGTTAATATGAACCACTGAAAAATATATATGATAAATACTATGCAGTATTTATTTGTACAGTGCTACAGTGTTATGCCTAACTTACAAGAAGGTACTATAAAATAGTCTGTATTTAACCTGTGTTTCTGGGGAAAGCCCCTTCGGCTCCCCAGAGTTATCCTGGTTTATATGAATGTATTAGACTCTGGCATCAGTCCAAGCGAATGAAGTTCTAGGCCTACCTGGGACCAAGAGCCAGAACCTGGCCCCCTCAGAGAGGCATGAGGATCAATGGTCTATAGAAACTCCTGTATAGTTGGAAGCATTCTATGTCTTCCATCGACCAGGTCAGGCACCCCAAAACAAACCCTATCTGATTAAAAATTGCTACAGAAAGCCGAATTGTTGGACAGAACTCTCCAAATGAAAAACGAGCATAGCGTCACAATTGTCACCATGCCACCATCTGTACAGCTTCCCCCCTCCCCGGGAGGGGGGAAGGGGGAGCCCCAGACCCCTGTGCTAGCTATCCACACCCCCAGTTCCAAGGCTGGATGTCATAACACGCAAAAACCACAAACCGGAGGGACGGAGGGTTGTTGGGGAGCCTCCAGGTCTTGCCCAGAAAATATCGTTTCATTACATTCAATGCCGTTTTTTATTATTGTTAACCATAATTTATTTGTATTACAGTTGATCATCTATACTGTACTAAGATTCTCTTTGATATGGTTTAGGCATTTATTGATAGCCACTACATTTTTTCTTAAAGAAATGTTGATGTAACAAGCTTTTCAGAGGCTGCATGCTTCTAAGGCAAAGAGCCGGTGTTACCCTTGATGAACTACATGAATGTTCACTCATGATACACAGATAATATAAACTGATAGCGTATGTTTATTTCAGATTTGGAGACAAAGGCAACTGGGCTATTAATTATGTCCAAAAAGTATCATAAAGATGCTCAGTATCTGAACATGAGATCAACTTTCGCTAAGATTGCTGCTGCTGCTGTTGTTACATTGGTGTTTGTTATCTATTTCTTTGTATTTTGAAGGCCTTGGTGGTATATTTCTTAAGAACACATTACTGGAAAGTTTAACACAATTTTTGGTTTAAAAATAAAAAAATTATTACTTATCAAAAGTGAGTCTTTAATTTGTTTGTAAAGGTGTATTGTAAATTTTCTGATATTAAAAGGTCTTTTGAGTGTATAAGCAGTTAACATTTCACAAAAGATGATTAACTTAATTTTTTCTACATAATGAACTGTCCACCATTTTAGATAAGTGGGAATCTGCTAACTTAGAGGTAAAAACCTAATGGTAAACGTGAATATATTTTGTCCATAAGAGGAGAATATTTAAGCCTCGGCTCTCCATTTGCTTAGATTATCTATCCTATGTTTATGCACACACCAGTCAATTTCACATGCATCCATGTGTGGCTAAACTTTTCAAACTACCTGTATATAATGGTATTATTTTGTATTTTGAGCTGAAATTGAATGTTGCCTTGAAAAATAAATGCTAACTTGCTGATAGCTTTACATGTAGATGTTATTAAATATTTTGTAATAGGCAAATGTGATGGTTCTAAATAACCACTTTTGATAACTATACAGCATCCAGACAGATTATGCAAATATATTTCTTCCTTTTAATTATATTTGTTTAAACATTTTTCAAGACCCTCCCCTCATAATGCACAAGAATTTTTCTGAGCGAATTCCCTGTGTCTGCAGTACCTATTTGGAATCCTTTAAGACTAGGTGCAACAATAGTCTCTTAATAAATCATGAGTACCCACTGGAGTGCAGGATCAGAAACCTATGTTCCTCAATAGAAGCATAGAAGAGTGTGTACAATCTCAACCACATTACTGAAGAAAACTACCAAAAGGGTAGAGCATACCAAGGTAAACGACTGCTAGGACAACATCTGCAACCATGGTTCAAACTATGTATTCACTTGTTGCCTAGGTCCAACTGCTAGTTAGCCTCACTCCACCACCAAATGACAGCAGCAGAAGCCAGAGGGTTCTGAACAGCTACTCCATTTCATTTGTGCACCTGTTATTTTTGTGGAGTGTACTGGTGCCTGCGTGTGTTTGTTTCATTCTTTTAGTGCATTATATGTGGGTTTTTTCATGCTAGCCAGTTGCACAAGCCTTGATCACTTGTTTGCTGCCACTCTGGCTTTTGTTGCTTTCCTATATTCAACAGCTTCATTGGTTAGCCTTCTATCTCCTTTTGAGTCTAGGGATGAAAAACTAATCAATCTAGCCTTATTGATCAGTTAGCCTTACAGTTATTGATCCCCACTGAGACTGCCTTCTCTTCTGGCTCTTGTTTGTTCTGGGTGGTCTTAGTCATTGTTGGTGCCTCTCTTCTTTGAAGCATCTGGCAGGGTTCTTTACTCTATCCCTGGGCTCTTCTCTTCTAATATTTTGGTTCAGGGCAGATGATTGGATCTCTTCCTGTCTAGCAGTTATTTTCCTGTAGTTTGTCACATCTGCCATTCCTTGGTTCTCTTATGCCATTCTCAGGTTGGGGCAACAGTGCATTTTTGTGCCCCTCATTTTGTCCAGACTGTCATTCTTGGTCCTGTGGCAGTTCCTGGTTTCTGTTCTTTGCCTTGTAGTGGGGCTTGGAAGTTTGCCCACAGCTTGCTGCTGCAGGGTGCATCTGGGCCTTGTGCTTTATTTGTTGGTTGCCTACAAGGTGAGCCTGACATTGTCAGCTGGCCTAATGGTAGTATTTCTTGCTGCTGCTGCTGCTCAGTGGCATTCTGGGTTTGTTATTGAAGAGCTTTCCTTTCTCTTCCCAGGGTGTTCTGTCATCACCTTTGTATCACTGCTCATTTTTTCTCAGTGTTTTGGTTGTGCCTTCTACCTGACCTAGTTCTAGGGTGCCTAACCTACCTTCCTCTACCTCCTTAGAAAATGTATGAGCTTCTCTCTGTCTCTCTCCCTCATCATCTTCATCCTACCCCCTCTCCTTCACAACCCCCATTTCTGTATCCTACAATATTACTAACAGCATAATAAGAGCAAGTGTCACCATCTCATTGTAGTATTAAATTACATCCATGCAATATTATTGATCTATTGTTCTTGTTCAATATTGGTTCATGTTCTTGGTTTAAATAGCAAGAAATTTGTTCATTGATCTTGGGAAATTTGTTTTTCTTAGATTTTTTCTTCAAAATGTTCATAGGTATAGTGGCAGGCAGTGTTGTTGGGATCTGAATGTGACCCCTGGCACGCTGTTCCCTTTTGAATTCTGGCGACCCTGACCAGCCTATGTTCATCCCATACCCCAGACCATTATCTTTGTCAGTTTGGGTGAAGCTGCTCCCAAGTGTCTGGCCTCCAACTTTGAACAGACATATATACTCTTATTGGTATAGATGGAATTTTTTCAAAGGGAATAACTACACAATCATTAATTATTACACATGTATTTCCAACATGCAGCTCCAAAGAGCCAAATAACTATATAAATCAATTCAATATACCATTCGTAAATCAAATTTCCAAAATTAATAAAATCTTAAAATTGTCTTGTCAACATCAAAGATAAAATACAGTGCAAAAAGGGCTATGAAAATATAACAAAGACATACCGATGTCACTCCAAATAAGACTAGTAGTTTTCGAACTATTCCTTATAATACTTAACCAATGACAGGGGAATGACAACTGATTTTGCTCTGCCTAAAAATCTTAAGTTTCAGATTTATTGTGCGTGATTTACATGCAACCAAATTAATTTTTGGCGTTGCTGAAATAATTAGGAATAATAAGACATTATTAAAAACAGATATACGCTAATGACAATCAACTCGCCGAGGAAAACTTTTATTCCTCAAATTTAACACAATGACAGGTATGAACTTGAAAAAAAAAAAGTTCAGTGCTTGTACTGTAGATATATAAGTATGCTGAATAATTTAACATTAACCTGCATAATAAAAAAAAATTAAATCCAAATACTTCACAATTTGGTTAAATATAAGTTCTTTTGATACAACAGTCAATGGATTAGCTGTCATACTAGCACAGGAAGCCACTGTTCAGTTTCTTATGGTACATGCAGAGAACAAGTCGCAATAATGTACTGAAAACAAATTACTTGCATTTCATATATGACGATAAGATTATGATGTTTTGGTCTGTCCAGGATCCCGTAACATCACTTTCAACTTAAGGAACCATGATGGACCAAAATGTCACTTTCCTTTCATATCAAATGTGTGGGATGCAGTACTTAATGATCTAAAATGATCTATCAATACACCACCAACAATTAATTACCTAAATATAAAAAAAAATTGATAATGTATAAAATGGTGATCAGTTGCAAATGACAGCATTCTTTACCAGGTTTAAATAGCATGTCTAATAATGACAATGCTCATTATTTTATTAAGTAAATTAAACAAGTTTAAACTTGACTTAATTACTTACATTAGCATCATGACTGCAATTGTCATTAACTAAACTATCATCTGTGCTGCTGTAGATACTATTTCCCAATGAAGACACTGTTGGTTTAAAGATTTCTTCAATATCAGCTACTAAATATACTGTATACTTTTAAGTATGATGCACTGAACAAATGAAACTATCATCCATGAACAAAATTGTTGTATCATACCTTAAGCTATAACAAGAGAGCAGCAGAGACAAAAATCTTGCCAATCTTGCATAACTCTTCCTTTGACAACCAGTATAAAAGTACATCTTATATGCTATACAACTTGGAAGAGGGAAAGATAAAAAAAACAAATCTGGAATGGTTCGTTTGATATATAACTACAGTATTGCAGTGCCCCTCCAATATTTTGTTGCGAATAGTCCTTCCTTCACAAACATAACAAAACTTCATTTCATGTGTGTAACAGAAGGAACTTTGTGTCACTATTAATATTAACTGAAAAGTATTTTATATTAATTTTAGAAATTGCAATCTTCTGAATATAAAATAAAACAAGCCACTGTAAATTATTGCATTACACATCAAAATCAAGGTCATAAACAGTTTGTTTTTCAAACATGAGACGCTAGGTGAAGGTTAAGGCAAAACACACCATTTACCTCATCGCCGATGATTTGACATTGCTGTCCCATTAAAATTTTCATTACCACTCAGAACTGAAAAGAAAAATGGTAAAAAATTTATGCAAAATAAAATAGCTTTTAAGAAATTAGGACTTTAGTATTGACTTAACAATTCAATTATATATAAATACCAGAAAGCCTGAAAGAGTTGACATTGTGTAAAGTATCGGGTAAATTTCGTATAAACAATACGCTCTTGATTTACACAAGAGCCATAATTTTTTGTAATTTTTATATCCAGTATATTTGTTTACATACATTAACTCTTGCCCACTTTTATGGGGTGGAGAGGCATCAACCAAGAGACAAATCAAGGGTGAGCAATATAGTACAGCTAAAGATTTATACATAAATATTACAAACATCACTTATTCAATCATAATACAAGATAAAGCAGTATAGATAAACAAGCATAACTACTGCACTCCAGCAGTCATCTATAGCCTTTAGAAATCTGTATGAGCAATTATTCAGGACCCTGTATATCAAATTTGTCACACCAATCCTCTAGTATGTAGCTCCAGGATAGAGTCCATATCTAGTCAAACAAGACAAAATTGCAGATAATTCCCCCACACTCTAGCACTCCTCTGCAGCAACAACCATATGCTACAGAAGACTAGTTTAAAAATGTACAGGGTCGAGGGGTACTTTAGCTGCACAGTTTTGAATGGGGTGTAAAGTATTAAAGCTGTTTAAGGTGCCACATTTCTTTTTAGCACATTGTGATGTGGAAATCATTGTGCAAGAGGAAAGCAGCATGGATAAATAGAAACTTTTTTTTTTTCATGCCAATGTTGCAGTACACACGAACCTCATGAATCCTCTTGGTTTTACTGTTTATGCACCTAGTATCATGGAACCTAAACATCTTACATGCCCTTTTCTTTTAGATATTCACATGAAACAAAACCTTGAAATCCAACAATGTTATAAGACACTGATGGGATCAGTATGAAGAAATTTGGTGAAGCTATACTTATTCCTTGTAGAGACATTGCCCCTCAACAAAGTTTTAAATTGGCTCTAAATTTTGCCATCGGGGGCTAAACCCATTTTTAAAAATAACCTTGCTTTTAAAATCATACATAAATGTTGTATGTTTCACGTAAATGAACAAAGGCTTTCTCGAGAAATCGCATGGAAAAGGTGAAAGAAAATTTCAATTAAGATATATGGCACCCTTTGCCAAGAAAATCCAACCTCAATTGGCTCTTCATGCGGCACATTGCAACACAACACTTTCCTGAAAGTTCACCACCTTATTCTCTTCTTGAGGAAGAATTTCATAATATATTTTTACAATGTCTTTAACAGCTGAGCCTACTCTGAAATGCCTGGTTTGAGAAGAGAAATTACTTACCCTTTTTAAGTATTCCATGGCACATTCTCTTGCTCGAGCATTCACTGCCAATTTCATCTCCGAAATCTCTTTATCAATCTCCTCCATGAAGTGAATGACAAAGTCTACCAGTTTATGTTTGAACATTTGCTCAGTGTGGAAGTTTGTTATGAGGAAAGATATGTCGTAGCCCTGTTGAATATAAATCATTAGTAGATACCAAACCTTAATGAGCTTTTCATTTAACAAAATTATAAAAGCCAAAAATCCAAATACAGGTACAGTACAGTACATACAGGTACCAATATTCTTTACCATATTAATTTGATACTTAAGTATAAATATGACTATCTGACTAGATTTAGAGTTATTCTGTAAAATATCAGTAGATTTAAAAGTTTAATAATAAATAAAGTGACAATATTATATAAAATAAAAATCAGAAACGGAGTGTAATGAAATGCCCTCTTTTGGCGAGGTCGTCTGTAGCTGCTCGAGCTAAGTACTGCTCCACCCAAGCCTTACTGTAGTGTTTTTCAACCAGAGTTCTGCAAACCTTTGTCAGGAGGTCTGCAAGAATTATACAGCAAACAGAAAATAATAAAAGCAAGCATATATTTATCACAAAATATATAAAAAGGTATACAGGTATATTGACAGAGGTTGTGGGTTTCTCAGTATACAAAAAATTATTTTAAGGGTTCTGCCATGGCAAAAAATATTGGGAAATCACTGCCTTAGATAGATTCATAAGGCCTCTGAGAAACCCTTGCCTAATGGTTATCAGGACTAAAATGTGACTATGCGGTGAGGGAAGTTTGGGGGATCAAACCAACCAAAAACTGCAAAAAAATTCAGTATTGAATGTAACAAAATGCCTTTTCTGGTGGGTCACTTGGCAGCTCCTAGATATGCCATAATCTGTCAATGAGCAAGCCTTGTGAACCAAACCAGGCCTTTGAAGACCCACGAACACCTACTAAAATCTGGCCTCCCACAAGAGGCGAAGGGAACAGATCATCACAAACTGAGCAAAGTAGTTATCAGAAATCCAAAGCACTCCAAAATCATGCAACTGCTTGGAAAAATTTGTAACCCATGATAAAAACAATGAGCACAATCATTAGAGGAGAGATTCCTCCCATCAAATGCCAGCCTGATATCAGAAGACAGCCAAAGTGGGCCCTAGGGTGTTGGTCAGCAAGCCAACTCATTCACAAGCCAGTTGGACTGACACACAGCCTGACAGGAGCCAGTTGGAATAACACATGGCCTGGCAGGAGCCAGTTGGACTAACACACGGCCTGGCAGGAGCCAATTGGACTAACACACGGCCTGGCAGGAGCCAGTTGGACTAACACACGGCCTGGCAGGAGCCAGTTGGACTAACACACGGCCTGGCAGGAGCCGGTTGGACTAACACACGGCCTGGCAGGAGCCAGTTGGACTAACACATGGCCTGGCAGGAGCCAGCTGGACTAACACACGGCCTGGCAGGAGCCAGCTGGACTAACACACGGCCTGGCAGGACCCAGTTGGACTAACACACGGCCTGGCAGGAGCCGGTTGGACTAACACACGGCCTGGCAGGAGCCAGTTGGACTAACACATGGCCTGGCAGGAGCCAGCTGGACTAACACACGGCCTGGCAGGAGCCAGTTGGACTAACACACGGCCTGGCAGGAGCCGGTTGGACTAACACACGGCCTGGCAGGAGCCAGTTGGACTAACACATGGCCTGGCAGGAGCCGGCTGGACTAACACACGGCCTTGCAGGAGCCAGTTCAAAGGAAACAGCCCAGACACTGCTGCAGGACCCCAGTGATGCAAAAACCAAACTGATGGGGAAAAATCAGGAATCCAGAGTTTAAAAACCACTGAACCCCTGACCAGAGCTGGAGACAGAGAAAGGGGGTCCAGTAGAAAGCACCTAAGAGCAAGAATGAGAACCTCTCAGTAGCTGGGATCACGAAACATGGAAAATGAGAGAAAGGTACAAAAGGAAATCGCAGTCTGCTGGGCCACTTGAGGCCACCACCACTAAGGTAATTATCACAAAAAAAAAAAAAAAAAATGTCCCACTATTAAGGTTGCCACAAAGGCAAAAGCACTCCCCTGAAAGATCAGAGGCTATTTGTAGCCTACCGAGGCAGAAAGAGGGTGTAAATATTTCACTGGCTATCACACTACAGAATTTTGTTTTTTATGCATGTGGGGGAATGGGTGTGAAATATTGGTTTAAAGGTTAAGTGTGAGCAGAGAATGTCCCATCAGAAATTTTGTGCCCCTGATGCTGATATCAGGCAAGTTAGTGAAGGAGGCAATCTGGTCAGGACTTTTAGCATTCCACATAACCAAGTCAGGTTCATCATGGTTAGTGTGTTTACATCTAGACAACTATTGCTTACCTCATTTTCTTCAAGCCATTTCTCGTTTTGCTGCATTTATCACTTCTGGAGTTGTTTTTCTCAGTTTTAGGTTTATATCTGATCCTCATTCTTCATAAAATGAGCTAGATTCTGGTCTTGGCCCCAGTTAGACACCAGTTTCTCAGAGGCCTGGTGCACCTCCTTAAAGTTTGGCTGACCAGAACTTAGCCCATGGAACTACTACATAATTTGATAAGAGACCAATAATAAAAAGCAGGTAACCACACTTGAAAAACAAAGATATTAATAACAAATGCAAATATTTAAACTAACCTGTACAGGTTTTCTTCGTAAAATTATGAAATTTTCAGCTCTCATCATCATAAATCTGTAAAGTAAAAATATTATTAAAAATACAAGTACTACTGTATAACTTAAAATTAACATATTTGCATTCTGATTATCCAATGTGTGTCATCAACTTCAATATTCTCTAGACACAAGACTGCTCAAATTATGCATATCATGTGTTTGGCATCTTTAGCAGGCCTTACGGTGAGAGGGCCACACTTCCTAGTACCCTACAGAACGTCACACAAGTACTGTACTAACAATACACCCCTTCCCCAAGCACCTTGAGGTGTCTGTGGCAATTTCTTTGTGATGCTAAAGTTATTTGGTCTTGCAACAACAACAATCTTAAAACCGTGAATGGAATCTTTGTGTTGAACAGAACCAGATCTACCAGTCCAGGTACAAGTGAAACTTTCACTGTACAGTATTTAAGAAATCAGTTGGAAAAACAGAAGTGGAAATAAATAAAATTTTGTATTAAATACCTCATAAATTTATGACAAAGAATACGTTCAATATCATCTGCTTGTTTAATAGAGATGGAAATCCTGATGGAGTTGATGGACGGTTCTATGAGAACTTTCTCTTTTTCATTTCGACTAACAACAACAGCAGTCATCAAGAGCTCCTTACTTGATCTGTGAACACAAGATTACATACAGATAAAATAATCCATAAACTATACAGAACAGGAAAAAAAAAAAAGTTTAGAAATATTCCTGCTACAAGTTTCATACTGCATCAATATGACCACTAGGTAAACCAAAGTACTGAACAAGTACTGTTTATGCTGATCACTGACAAGCAGCAGCTCAGTTTCTTGTTTACAAGTTGACCCCCCAAATATAAACTAATTTCCTAAAATTACTTTCAAAACTGAAAAGTTTTAAAAGTTTGATTGAAAATCACAAAGTGATATAAAGCCTTTCACTTATGCCTGTAATACAGATGACATCGGTTCATGCAAGATTAAGCAGTACTGTACAGTATGGGGAACATCAGGTGAAATGAAATCCAGAGGTGAGGAACCTGTGGCCTTTTATGGTACAGTACTCGGTGCAGCTTTTGAAAATAATTTAAAATTTATGTGAAATACTGTACTAGTAGAACCTTATACTGTATAGTGGAACTTTGATTTGGTGAATCTCCAGTTGGAGTGCATACTTTCCAGGCTGGATTTACTAACATGATTCAACGAATGAGTTCTCTGAAGGGGGGGGGGGTTTGTGTGGATTTACTAAGGCTGTTGGGACAATTCAGAGCTGGAGGCAACATTACAAGAAATGGTTGGGGCCTTGGGAAAGCCTTCAGTATATTTAAAATCAAATTCAATGATTTGTTTTCATTTTTAAGATTCCCAGCTTTTGTTCACAAATATGGGCCCTTTTCCCCTATGAAAATAAGCTTTCCAAGTTAGTGCATGGGAAATAAGCTAGATGTGATTAAAATCTCTTTAGATGTGATAAAATCTCTTTACAGACAGATACTCTTGATAGTTGTCCTTCATATGACATGTTGAAATTAAAATTTCACTGTGAAATCAGCCCATAGTGTGTTAAATATTAGGGTATGATGGTAACACTCTTAATAAAACTCAAATCACGTTTTTAATGATTTTCATAGATGGAAGCAACATTACATGAAACAGTTGGAGCCCTTGGAAAGCTACTGAAGTTATTTAAAACCAAATTCTATCGTTGGTTTTAATTTTGACTTGGCAAGGCTTTTGTTTGCTCAGCTCCATCCAACCTCAACTCTGTTACCTTTTGAAAACTATTTTTGAGGCTGGAGACATGAAAAAATAAGCTGCATGTGATTAAATTTCTTTAAACATGTTCACTTAGTAATTGTCTATTGTACTATAGGTTGAAGTGAAATAGGGTGTGGGAAATGTGTCCTGGAGGCATCTCAAGTTGCAATAACTCAGAGTTGGTCCCATGTACTGAACAGTACTGTATAACGAAATCAGTGAATACAGTACAATGAGATCAGTGTAAATACAGTACAATGCTATCAGTGTGAATACAATACAATGAGATCATATATTATTGAATATGATAAAAAGGTGAGATCAATAATTTTAGCACAAATCTTCTCTATTTTTCTTATGTTTTTATTCACTTGAGAAGGAAGTTGAAACATTAACTCTCTAAAGTTTATTTTACAATTTTATTAAGGACTGACACAAAGAGATGAGTTTCATTGACTTTGTCAACATTATCAAAGGCAGAGTTTGAGTAATTAGAAGTGTTTGTGCTGCTGGATATATAACCAGGGAAGAGGTGAAGCGCCTCACTTACAGGACAATAAGCCTGTTGCAGCTTACTAATCCCCTGTTTCTAAATGGCAGGGAAAGTATATTACATGTTTCATTGTGTTCTCAAAGATGGTGAGTGTAATTTGGTGTTAGTTGGTTTGATTTGCTTGATGTATAATGTCTCCCCAATGTCCAGTCTTCTAATGTTGCTGTATTTGTCGATTAGTTTGTTGTTGTTTGTCAGGATATCCCTAGTTAAGTGTATAGATTGTATGTTCCTTGATAGCGTCTTGCTGTTTGCGCATTGTTAAGCACCTTGAAATGATGATGTTTTCTTGCCTATATATATTGAGTTTGTGGGGATGAGTCTCCAACAAACTGTCAGCCCCAATGCATGCTACTGCTAATAAACTTGTCTCATGTGGAAAGCACATTGGTTGAGAGAGAGCCTCACATCTACATCCTGATGGCTCCTTGGGTTTACATCCTCAGCAGCTTGGTCTCTGCCCATGTTTTCTACCTGATGATTAATGTGGCTGAGAGTGCTTGCAGTACAACACTGGCTTCAGGAATACTTTGTAACAAGATGTCAAGAGGCAAAGTACTGTATCTACGTATCTTGAAACTTCAAATGTCCTAAACAGCTACCTGGGTGCAACATCATCCACAAAAAACAAAAGCAAGCAGCATAATACCTAGAAAGGTTTGTTCAAAATATGTAGCAAACTGGTTGAAGTGCTGTCCACATATGATCAGGAGACAAACACCCCTCCTAGAAAACATGAGAAAAAAGGGTAGCTTCCAAAACTATTACATCTTCAAAATGGCCACCTGGAGATAACAATACACTAAGATGCGAGTATTCCACATGTAAACCTTCATGCAGTAAGCTAAAATAGTTTATTGTTAATATTACTCCATTTCCCATTTGCATTGGGTGGGTGAGAAACTGATAAGAATAGTACAGTATAAAAAAGATAATGTAGAGTAAAAAAATCAAGATGGTCAGCGACTCCCAACCTTTCACGATACATACCACACTGCAGATACATGGGAAAACTAGCTTATGTACTGCCACTGTATAGCAAAATATATACAGTAGCAAAATACTGTATCCAAACCAGGATCTTAGCCATATAACAGCCTCGCCTCGGTATTAAGTACTGGGCCTTTACCACTCCTATATCAGAACCGTCCTGTACCACCACAAACACATCAGATATAATACAAATCTTATTATACAAGATATAATACAAAATAAACGATTCATTGTTAGTACTCAGAAGCAGCCGTATAAATTTTCATCATCAATCATTCCCTCTTAGTAAAGTGCTTCTTCCTAGTCCCATTGTCACTTCTCAGGCGTTGTTCACATATCCAGTACAGTATATATGCAGCTACACAATGTTTTCTCTTCACATGAGCACATTGCACCCACCCATCTTCATGGTCTTTCTTGCTCTTATTGCTGTCGTGAATTCACTAATGAATTTTCTCATCAATATCATCACCATTTAATTTTATCTTACTGCTAACATCTTAATACACAACTTTTAGTTTTATACTCTTTTTAATAACATCTCTCTATTTTATTTAAGTACTGTATCGAGTTACATATATAATATCCCGAGTTTATTTCAGACTCGCAACTCTGGACAACAACCTACCATACTTCATCGACTTTCACAATTTTTGTTATTTACTGTATTAACTTTTGTAACCTTTCCTCTAAATGAAGAATACAGAGAATTACTTACCTAACCTCTACTTCTGGCTTATTATGTCTTTCTACAACTTGAGAGTTGAAATTCTGAAGGCACATGGCAGCAGAAAGTGTGTGCCGTACAGCATTCAGATAGGGACGTAACGTGGCTGACTGAAAAAATATAATTTAATTAGAAGTTAATGAAGACACTGTCAAATATGAATATGTTTTGGAAATATACATCTTTAGTGTTTTTTGTTTTATACTGAACTTTTTTGGAATGCATTTTTGCAAAAATGTGCAACTTTAATGGGAAAATGCAGTTTCGAAGGTAAATGTGTAGAGTTCAAATACCGAGATGTAACAAGGTTTCACCAAATAACTACAAGTACTGTATAGTAATTAACAAAAGAAGGTGCCAAGCTGGGAAAACTACATAGCACTGTCCAAATAACATCAAGCAAAATTTAAAATAATGCTTCCTTTTAATTCATGGATTAGGCAATTATTAAAAGAAGGTGCCAACTGGAAAGACCATATAGCTCTTAGTATTTGAAGCTGTTCTGGGCTCCCAATCTGTCCCTGTGCAGCTTTCCTGACTTTAGCCAAGGTAAGACAATTATGACAATAAAGCACTAAGCAAGCATGACATAGCCAAGTCAGCCATAGGAATAAGTAGGTAAATTATATTGTAATAATAATCACCAAAAGGTAAGGTAAGTATCGGGAGACAGCTCTAAGCCAAATTCAGAGGGCACACCAGAATTTGCTAACTCCCAGCACCACTCACTCAAGCCAGTTCTGTACCCTTCTGAAAGCCCCAAGATCAAGCCAGAAAAAAAACACTTCCCTGTCACTCCATGCTTTATGTGTACCAGGTGTATTGTAACAATCCCCCCTGTTAAATAAAGTTACCTTCCAGGAAAATCATCACCCAACAGGCAGCAAATGCAATTAATTTTCCAATGATCCCCAGGCAGAGCAGAAGCCAAATGAAATCTCAGCATGAAGGTTGAACCAGAAATCTCCTAGTTCATGTCTCAAATAATACTAAAATTCCACTTTTAAAGCTTGAGCCTTCTTTGCATTATACTGTACAGGCAAGACCATCACAGGCCTAGATAAAAATATAGTCGATATCCTTGGGGATCTAACAGAGACGCTTTACCGAGTTTATACCCGCAACTAATAAATACCTAAGAAGCAGAACAAATGAGGGATTGCTAGTGAGGACGAGCCATGAATCCCGAGGGCACAGGGGGTCCCAGAGCCATCGACCCTAGTCCCTCACCTCATGACTCATGCAAACCCACATCAGCACCTCGCCCAGTACCCCAGTGAACCACAGTCCAACTTACCATGATGACTGATTGCAAGAGGACGAGCACAGCGACGATCAATCTAAGACTCGTCAAGCGGTAAGCTTCCTGTCACTTATCTGTGGTGGTGGTGGTGGCCCCGGGTCGTCCCAACCCTCGTGGCTCCGGCCTGCGCCTCCCGTCTCCTCCCACACACATTATCTCTCACGCCCTCTTCTCTATCCCCGTCCTAACCTCATGTATAACATATAAATGAATATACCACAACTTCTGATGTGCACACATTTGCCCGATCAACAAAGCTGACAGAGATTCGTGTGTATTATTTAATATTTAACGTTCTATTTTCATCCGTTTCGCTCGAACGCAGTTTGCCATTGTTTACATACTTAATTTTTCATATTAACGACGAAATAAAATTACTAAGATCAAATATGATCAATTTTCATTTTGAATTAAATACTGGACGGGTATCGGAGCTGTACTCCTGTTAAAGTGTGATATTACAGGGCGTTGTACTGGTCGCGCCGCCACCCACGTAGTGCAAGAAACACATGAGGTAATAGACAATAATGGTACAGTAATTTGCTAGATTCATTTAAATAATTATTTATTTTTTATTTTGTTATTGACAAACTTAGTACACACGCTGCTACCCTATTCTATATGAAGGACTACATAGTATGGATAAAAAACTAACACTGAATTCAGCTAATATCCCCATCTCACCGGACAGTTAGTCATACATGGGATGAGGAGAAAACACGAGATGTGGTCTAGTCTGCTAGCCTGCACTAACTATGCGTTGAGCACAAGAATATCTTCCACTATTCGTCAGTGTATAACGTAGTTACAGAGCTCAAAGTATCTCATACCATTTGGTTTAGTCATTGATAACAGGGCACTCACAAATAGTATTTACTAGTTGTGTTTTTACGGGGGTTGAGCTTTGCTCTTTCGGCCCGCCTCTCAACTGTCAATCAACTGTTTACTAACTACTTTTTTTTTTTCCACACCACACACACCCCAGGAAGCAGCCCGTGACAGCTGACTAACTCCCAGGTACCTATTTACTGCTAGGTAACAGGGGTACTTAGGGTGAAAGAAACTTTGCCCATTTGTTTCTGCCTCGTGCGGGAATCGAACCCGCGCCACAGAATTACGAATCCTGCGCGCTATCCACCAGGCTACGAGGCCCCATAGTGTTGGAGAGAACTCGCTTGTTCACATAGTTCAGTGTTCACCGTTGGGGGACTCAGCCATCTCACACACTTACCGATATCTCAGCCTATTCTGGAAGTTACAGTGACTTTAGAGTTCTATTTGATAGCCTAAGATTTTTTTACCTGAGGGCCATTAACATTCTGGTGACCTCGATGAGGACAGGAAGCCGACGGCTTGTCAAACGTCCCCACATTAGAACTGATGATTTTTTCAAACTGGATTTTAAAATTCAAGTCTTGGCATTTACGGCTTCGGCGGGTAGGCAGTTCCATGGGTTTATAATCTCTTGGTTGAAAAAGCCTCTCCTGTTTTCAGTCCTATATTGTGGCTTGTTGAGATCGAAACTTTGTGTTTATATCTGAGTTTATCTTTGTGTTACATCTGACCTTCTGAAGAAGTTGTCTGGATCAGTATCCTCCAAATTGTTAAGTATTTTAAAAGTTTCGATAAGATCCGACCAGTCATGTCTGGTGAGCAGTGGTTGTTAGCCCTGAGGCCCTCGGCCGTTCCTGGTACGAGAGTTGACCTAGTTCTGGAATGATTTTTGTTGCCTTGTGTTAGACTCTCCAAAGATCTATATCTTTCTGAAGACGAGGTCTACATGTTTGCTACCCGCTCCTCCTCTCGTCTTCCCCTCTATCTCTTCCCGACCATCCCCCTCCTCCCACCCGGCCATGTCCCCTCCCCCATCTCCTCGTCCTCTATACTCTTCCTCCCGCCCAGCTTCTTCCCCTCTTCCCCCTAGTCTTACTCCCCCCCCCCCAAAGAAATAATTTTTTCTGGTGAAAAACTCTTCGGGAATCTCAACCAATATTTCACAATTGACTAGATTCAAGTTCAAGTATGTTTATTGAGATAAGCAATAAATACATCTCAAAGGGATAGAGTAGCTTAGGCTATTTCTACCCCCCCCCCCCCTTTACTTCAAGTTCCTCAAGGGGCGCACAAATTCAGTGAGTACAAATAGACAAATAACATTACAAGAATCCCATTTAACATCGCAGGTTTATATAGTAAGTACAGCATATAATTGTTACACTCTCGGGGCAAAATTCTTGTAGCTCCTAAGTATACTGTCTATCATACCATTATCACACATCCAAACAATTTGATGTGGTACACTATTTATTTCTTTATTTCAATAGTTATCAATAAGTTGACACTCTAATACATAATGTTCTAAGGTGTGGGCGTGCGGCATACTACATAATTTACACTCCTTATCTTTTTCACTGACATCAACACCGTATTGCCAGATATATTTGTATCCTAATCTTAATCTCATGTAAATTGAATCCTTCCAAGTAGACTTTCCTCTACCATAGGTGAAGAACGAATTTGTATTTATTATTGAATAATTCTTAAGTGTTACTACTGTCCACCATTGCCAATCTCTTTACCATTTCTTCACCCTCTTGGATCATCTTGATTCTTGTTTTTATTTGTTTCAAGGTTAACTGACATACAACATCAACAAGAGTTTTTTCCGTGGCTCTCTTTGCTATCTCATCAACTGCCTCATTCAACAGTATTCCCACATGTGAAGGGATCCACATGAATCTTACTTTATACCCAGTTTTTTCTAATTTCTTAACATTCTCTCTACACTCTATCACAATATTCTGGTAAACTGGTCGTCTGCTAGTTAAAGACTCTAACGCTTCTCTACTGTCAATAAAGAAGCAAGCATTTTTACCACAGTTAAGTACTTCCTGTAATCCTGCTTGGAGCTCAGCCTGCGTTGAAGAGACATTGTCAGTTAAGTGGCGACCAATAACAGTATCTACAGTGCTGATGTCAGTGTACTCCCTGATCAAGACTCCACATCGTGCCTTCCCATCCCTAGTTATTGACCCATCACAATATACATGTAGAGTGTTTTCTGTAGGTAATTTTCTAATTATACAATCATATGTTGCCCTCAGCTCTCCTATCTCATACATGCTTTTTTCTTTTGAAAGGTAATAATTACTACATCTACATTACAATCCTCCCATGGTGGTGTGAATTGTCTCTTAGGCAGAGCAATACATTCTGTAATAACATTATACTTTATAACATTAGAACATAAGGTACTCAAATATGCTCTCTTCTTTATCATACATTGTTCATTTTGAACAATGAGCCCACCTTTTGAACTGAGAGGATTAATTCATTAGCTCCCCCACCTCTCATTAATCTAATGGCAGAGGCTACATTTAGCTCTGAAATTCTATCTCCAATACTCTTCAGATTCAACTCCATCCTCATTATCTCAATCATAGCATTTCTTGGGCATCCTAAAATAATTCTCATGGCTTCATTTTGTACCTTCTCCAACTTGCCCATCCTACCTTTACCGAAACAAGAAATGACAGGTACAGCATAATCAATAAGGGATCTTATAGTACTCAAGTATATCATTCGTAGCACAGGGACTCCCACTCCCTTTCCACAGCATGCCAAGGCATTCAAAGGTTGTAATCTCTTTCAATATTGACCCAACACTCTGTTCATCTCAGCTTCCAAACTCTCATGGGTATATCCAACATATATGCCAAAATATTTATATATATTAACTCCTCTCTATATTTTTACCGTTTATTTTCAATATAATGGGCCTCCGACTTCTACATTCAAACTTAGTTTTGTCTTCATTAACCACCAGTCCCATGTGCTGACACAGATTTCCGAAATTATCCAACACTGTTTGAGCCTTTGAAATATCTTTGCCCTGAAACAAAATATCATCGGCATATATGATTGGAGTTACCCCATTTGAGTATCTCTCAGATGCTATCTTATTCATTAGTATATTAAACAGGGTGGGACTCAACACTCCTCCCTGAGGTGTGCCGAGTTCAAAAGATCTCACACCTGACATACAACCTTGATACCACACCTGAGCCTTCCTCTCGTGAAGATAATCCTCTATCCAGCGTAATAATCTCCTTTTAACACCAAGACCAGCTAGTTCATATAAGATAATCTCTTTATTGGCTTTATCAAATGCTCCTTGTAAATCAATAAAAATTCTATAATAATCATTATCATTAGCTAGACATTTAATAATACAGTCAGAGGTACTTTTGCCTTTGAGGAACCCGAACAAATTACTAGACAGCTGATCACCTATTATATATAAGTCTATTTAAAATTATCAAGTAAATTCAGGTAAATATACATTTGTACTTTCCATTGCGTGTGATTCCGCACGAGCCCTCCGAAATGAAACAATGTATCATACACAATGGGGGGAGCCTTGACCACGAAGCCTCGGATTTTCTATTCTGATAAGGCCAGTAGACACGGTGACACAGGTATAGACAGGTAAACAAACGTCAAGCATCCCGTCACACCCAAAACAATGTAGCAGTAGATCCGGTGGAATCAAGCTTTATCAAGCTATAAAAATAAGCTTTATCAAATAATAGCCATGAAAAAACTCATAGAAATGAATTGAAACTAGAATACTGAATAACAATAGTTCCAGTCATTCAAAAGCTGTTTATATATCACCCCATTAATTACATTTACAAATTACAATTTTTAATTACATTTACAAATTACGAATCTTAATTACGATTTACAAATTACAAATAAAAATAACATGCTAAACATACACTCACTCCACACATTCTCACGTGTTCTTTACGTGTACAAAACCTTGTTCCTAAATGCTAATCTTGATCTGAAATTTTTCTCTTGATAGGTGTAACAGAACCCATGAACACCACACCAGAAATAAATATCATATTGATATCCCCAGAGTCAAACTAAATCTGTACAAACACTCCATGCAAATAAAAAGATCCAGTCTATGAAACTCACTCCCTAATTAATTAAAAAATTGTCCAACCTATGTCTTATTCAACAGTAAAACCAAAATGTACCTAATTTCATCCTCATAGTTTTATGCTTCAAACTCACATTGAATCTTCTTGTACTACCCACTTCTCCAATATTAGTACTTAAGACATATATATATCTTCACCAGTGTAATCACCTGTCAATTTATATTGTAGTTATATGTTGATATAAAAAAATTCTGCAATGTACCTTTTCATCTTACCTGATATGTTAGATTAAGGACCTGCCCGTAACGCTTTGCGTGTCTCACCAACCAGATCGAAAGATTTCTGTACCTTCTTGTAAATCAAAATTATTATCATTATTATTATTAAATGACTATGGGAAATTGGACTCAGGATAGAAGCTGACACAAGAGGACAGTACCGATAAAAACTCTCTTATGTTGCACTTATTTCTATATGGTTTATAATATATCTAATCCAACCAAACCAAACCCAACCTAATTAAATGAAACTAAACTTAAACAGCCCTCTCTCTATATACCTAACTTAAACCTAGTCTCACCTTTGCCTAATTACACACTTAGGTAATTACCTAATCTGGGCAGGTCCTTAATCTAACACCAATGTTATGTACTCTCACACAAAAACCTAATGTACCTTCTTGTATAAATAAATAAATAAATAAATAAATATTTTCTGTATCTAAATAGCACACGTCCGGTACTATTTATCTGTATCTATATCTAGGGCGCCTAACAGCTGAGTGGACAGCGCTTCAGGTTCGTAGTCCTGAGGGTCCGGGTTCGATCCCGGTGAATCGAAGACAAATGGGCAAAGAGTTTCTTTCACTCTGATGTATCTGTTACCTAGCAGTAAATAGGTATCTGGGAGTTAGACAGCTGCTACGGGCTGCTTCCTGGGGGTGTGTAACAAAAAGGAGGCCTGGTCGAGGACCGGGCCGCGGGGACGCTAAGCCCCGAAATCATTTCTAGATAACCGGTAAACCAATCGAGCGGGTATATGTATACCTCGGAGGTCGTGTACACTTATTCCTATGTTCCTACGTCACTACGTATTTCTGCCCGAAACGCTGCGCGTACTAGTGGCTTTACAAGATTGTAAATACCATGCTATGTATCCTCACAAACCCAATGTACCTTCTTGTATATAAATAAATAAATAAATAAAACTGTGTCCTCCCCTGTACTGGCTGGTCCTACGAGCATGATGATCTTTACCAGCGGACCTCACAGGAAACCATCTCAGTAACCACGAAGGAATTTCCACTTTTACTCACCACCTTTCAATCCATTCAACACTCCAGCCTAACAATACAGTTAGTCCTCCTATGGTTTCCCAACGTCAAGATATTGTCGTACTAAAGTGCCCTCTCCTAACCTACCATAGCCCCCACCAACTCTTGAAAGATGAGCCTAGCCAAATTACAATAGATGATAAAAGGATAGCAAACACTTTGAATAAATGCTTTACATCAATGTTCACACTAGACAGATTAGACGACATCCCATTACCCACACAAATATTTGAAGGTGAGAAGAACGAATTAAGAGATCCACCTACTGACGATGTCGATCCCAGCGGACCTACTGCAGCCTTACAACGCTGCCTCAACCCATTGAACCCAAACAAACCAGATCCCCAAAACATCAGCAACCGAAGCAACACAGTGATCCAGGCAACAACCTCTACCCAGTCCGCCTTCACCCCAGACCAACCAGCGTGCCAACCTATGGAAACCTCAACACCCTCCACTGGAGCACGAAAGAAATATGCAGGACTGCCAAGGAAAAGAAGACAGAAAATAATAACTGACCAGATATATCAGGCTATATATAATATCTATAATACACCATGGCAGATCGTTCAAAGGGTTGAAAGTCAGGAAGTATTTCCCCAACATAACCCCCAATGACACCAACCAATGGTAATAGATCAGATGTTCATTTTCATCAAATCAATTACATTTCCTAGAGAAAACGCGAGCCTTATATATACATATATATGAGGCTCGCGTCTTAATCCTCTTTTCTCCCCTCTCCCCCCCCCCCACTTTCTCCCAAAATGGTTAAGGTGTGAGTTATTACAGCGGGGAGCCCTCACACACGAGTTTCCCTGGGCTCAACGCCCAATGCAGGTGTGCTCAGGCCAGGTGGGGGTGTACCAGGCCAGGTGGGGGTGTACCAGGCCAGGTGGGGGTGTACCAGGCCAGGTGGGGGTGTACCAGGCCAGGTGGGGGTGTACCAGGCCAGGTTGGGGTGTACCAGGCCAGGTGGGGGTGTACCAAAACAGGTGAGGGTGTACCAGGCCAGGTGGGAGTGTACCAAGACAGGTGGGGGTGTACCAGGCCAGGTAGATGGTGTGCCAGGCCAGGTGGGGGGTGTACCAGGCCAGGTAGATGGTGTGCCAGGCCAGGTGGGGGGTGTACCAGGCCAGGTAGATGGTGTGCCAGGCCAGGTGGGGGTGTACCAGGCCAGATGGGGAGTGTACCAGGCCAGGTGGAAAGGATAAGGACTGTTCCTGAACAAATAGCTTGGATGTGTCGCAACAGAAAGTTTGATGATATTCTGAAGAGATATAAGAATTTTGCACCAAGACTGTAATCTTTTGTTGAATAATCTGCATGTCTCTTGCAAATTGTCTATACAGTATACCTAAGTCTTAAAAGTATTTGTGTTTACGTCTGATACCATACTACTTGTGTAAAGGACGGGAAGGGAACTATCAGGGGAAAAGCACCAAGCTATTACGACTATATAGCACTTGAAAGGGGTCAGGATAAGGATTTGGGATGGGACTTCTAAACTTCCCTTCACCTATGCCTGTCCTTCCTCTTTACTTCCCCCTCCCCCCCACCCCCCCAAAAAAGGCCGGGTGTCGGGGGTGTACCCATGGCCAGGTAGGGTGGGTGTACCCATGGCCTGGTAGGGTGGGTGTACCCATGGCCAGGTAGGGTGGGTGTACCCATGGCCTGGTAGGGTGGGTGTACCCATGGCCTGGTAGGGTGGGTGTACCCATGGCCAGGTAGGGTGGGTGTACCCATGGCCTGGTAGGGTGGGTGTACCCATGGCCTGGTAGGGTGGGTGTACCCATGGCCAGGTAGGGTGGGTGTACCCATGGCCAGGTAGGGTGGATGTACCCATGGCCTGGTAGGGTGGGTGTACCCATGGCCTGGTAGGGTGGGTGTACCCATGGCCAGGTAGGGTGGGTGTACCCATGGCCAGGTAGGGTGGGTGTACCCATGGCCAGGTAGGGTGGGTGTACCCATGGCCTGGTAGGGTGGGTGTACCCATGGCCTGGTAGGGTGGGTGTACCCATGGCCAGGTAGGGTGGGTGTACCCATGGCCTGGTAGGGTGGGTGTACCCATGGCCAGGTAGGGTGGGGTGTACGGGGCCAGCCGGGCAAGCCCCAGCCGGTAGGGTGGCCGGGGTCGCAGCAGCAGCAGCAGGTGCTCCAAGGGGATTACCGGACCGGTCACGGGCTGCGGGAGAGCGGCGGTGTCGTGCCCTCGTCACACTCGGACAGGATTAAGCCGTCCACGATGCGGTAAGGTGGGAGGAGTACCCTGGGAGCCTGCAACTCCTGCTTGTTGACGTAGACTTGTGTTAATATTTAGTGATATTACGCTAGAGATACGTACGGGTGGCGTGTACCCCCAGGAAGCACAGGGCCTGTTGGTAATCGTAGCGGACTGACCCCCAATGTACCTAGGCCTCTTGTGTCCTGCTACACGTATATAACTCTTCCTCAGTATAGGCCTACTGCCAGATGAGAAATATGACACTTGAAAAACTTTTGTGTTAGGTTGGATTAGGGAAGGTTATAATATATATTTGCTCAAAAATTATAAAAGTCATGGTGGGTGCAGAGGTCAGTACATACGGTTACAATGAACCAGCAGGTAATTTGCACACAGGTTTTAAAATCAGATCAGAAATATTCATTAAGCATGTATGAAGCAAGGTGCATGAGTACAAAATGGTAACAAAATACGAAATGTATATTTTTTCAAATACATACGTTTTTGTGATTGAAACTGTGATGTGCTTGTATACGATATGACCGTATCCTTATTGTAAGATGGTGCTTACCTGTATACAGGTCACATCGTACACAAGACGATTCGCCAATGGATTTTGAAACTTACCTAACCTAGCCCAACCAAACCAAACCGATTCAAATACAGCCTAACCTAAGCAAATACATCCTAACATAACAATATACGCTGTTTTAACAAACAGAAAACGAGCTTCGTCGAATTGTCTCGTATCCGAAATGACCGTACCCTGCTTGCCTAACAGTGGTCCTATAGTGCACACGTCATTACTGTCGAGCCATGTTTAAAAAGTCCAGAGTTTAATTACCATGGCATGACAGACCATGGGTATGTTTCATTTGAACTGATGCATCTGTTCGCATAGCTGTAAATAGGTGGCTCAGAAGTTAGATAACTTATAGGTTGTATCCTGGGGAAAGATCCTAGTTTGCCTAGATCTCAACTGTGGGAAACCCAGTCGTACACAGGCATTTTGCACATAGCTTCTTTGGTTAGGGTGGGTTACGTTAGGTAAGAATTAAAATACATTTGTGAAGTAACTAATATATAAAGTGACCTAATGAGTACAGTGTATCCATTTTGTATACCTGAATTTCCAACTGTTAATTTCATCTAAATTTTAATTTTAATTTAAGAGACCATATTTTGAAAGATTTATACACCAACATTATAACACTGTTGTTTTATATTGGAAAGTGGGTCATACAGTACAGTATTTAGAAATGTGCAACAATTTGAAGAGTATTTTGAGAATTGTCTGATGTATAGAAGTTTACACAATTTTGTGATTATGAATATTTACCACAATACCAAGTGGCCTCAACGGGAACAAATAGTTAATGGCTTGATGGAAAATCCCCCTAATCATTCCTAAGGTCTCTTTCCTGCTGCATTTTGAACTGTAGTACAGTACAGTACTGTATTTGTATTATCAGTCCTTCATTGTGGCTTGTTGAGTCAAACTGTTCCCTCGTGTGAGTCTAATTTAACTATTTAAAAATAATGAGCTGGAATAACATGACTTAACTTGTTTTATACATACTGTACTTCCAACCCACAAATCTGAAAATAAAACAAGTGGTGACGTTTTGGACCATCCTAAACCATTATCAAGTTATTGTTACTTATTGCCTGCATTTATTTGATATAGGCCTATAGGGCATTGCACATTTATATAAACATTCTAAATACATGTACCTGTACTGTATTCTTAAATACTAATACTGATACGAAATTCAGAAAAAGTTCTTAAAGCTGAAAGAGTTCTTCATTTGAGTTATTGTACTGTATCTTCTTTTCATGTTGAGGTTACTAAGTATTGAAAGATAGATTAAATATTATTAATGTTACTTTGTTCTTTTTTCTTATTGCAAAGAATCTAGTTATTCAAGATTGAGGAAGACTTGACAACCACTATCAGATCTTAATTTTCAGTGTACAAGGTGAGGCTTTTGCCTATGCAGTGTATTAAGCACTGTGGTGATATCCTACTTAATTTTGTGTGTATACTTGCTTGCTTTGCAGCACAATACACTGTTTTTAACAGCTACACTGCTTGTCTGCATTTTAAACAATTTTCTTTAATAATGGAAACAAATATGTTAACTCTTATGCAATTTACCTGTGTGATTTTATTATTGTTGTACAAATGTTATTTCCTTCTGGGTATTGTATTCTAAAATTTGTTGTAATTAAGCTTAGACAACAAACGGGTAAGTCTGATGGCAGTGGTAAAATATTTTGTTACACTGCAAAGTCTCTGCTTGCTTATATCTAAAACTTCTTGTTTGTAAACCATTGTTTACCCATTTTTGGCCTTGTAATAGACAGTCACATTCATATCATGCATATTAGTGTAAAAATTAATTTTACTTGTTACAGATTACAGTGAACAGTAATTTATTCTCAGAATTCTAGGAACATTGTATCATGCCAAAGGGTACTAAAATGTTTTCAGCATCGGTAAGAACATGACAAGATACTTCACTGTCATACGTTTAAAAGTTGGAAATGGAATTACTCAATTGAAAGTATGTTTGCGAGCATGAAATTCAAAGCATTAGTGATGGGCTGAAAGTATATATATGTAATATTTCCTTGGTAAAGTATCTCTGAAAATTCCTCCAGGATTTTAAGAAGGATACTGTGTGCTATTAATACTCTGGTATCTCCATCACCCCAAATTTATTGCTTGCATTCTCCTGATGATATGCTATACAGGCACATCCCCCAAAATCCAGATTATAGGATATCCAAACCCAATCTGGATTTCTGAAAATTTGCCCTTTCTTTGGCTATTTATCACCAATATTATTGGTTTATATATTTTTCATGTAAAACTCCAAATGAAAATGATCCATAGAATTTTGTTTTAAATATGATCAGTAGCTTTCACAAGATATCAACTGGTTTTTTCCTAAAGTTTCATTAAAAATGTGATCAGACCCATAATTTGGGTCTGATCACATTTTGGGTCTGAACATAATTAGTAGGAGCCATAATTTGTTTTATGCCATAATGCCTTAATTTTTCCCATGTTTTATGGGGTGAATTTTATTGAATGCAATTTAAATTTTATCCCATTATGTGATGGACAACTACCAGGAGAACCTGTCCATAAAGAGATTTCTTTCTCATTGCATGTGTTTCTCAGGATCCAGCCCCTTGAAGCTTGTTTCTTAAAGGTAGGACCATGGCACTGAGTGAACCAGACCCCTCCTCATTCCCACATCCAAAACTTTCTTTAACTCAAGATTTTCTATGAGATTTTCAGAATAATAATATTACACAGAGAAATCACATTAGCATGATACTGTATACAGTATATCAAAGAACAAATTCACAAGAGCCGTGATGAGGGTTTGAACCTATGCGCTGACTGTTCCCAGACGCGCTCTAGTCAACTGTCCTACGACATAGTAAAAAGAATTGCAACCGGGTGTGCTACTGCACCCCGAGTTGACTAGAGCACATCTAGGAACACTCGGCTAATAGGTACAAACCCTCATTAAGGCTCCTGTGGATTTGTTCTTTTATAACATTACAGTATTCGTATTTCCCCTAACCTAAATTCTGACTCCACAAAATGACAAGAAAACAGAAGAATCTAAAAAATTTAGAAAAGATATGATCTGATAAATTCAAATTTGGAAAGAGAAATCATTTGGCCGAATTTGGTCCAATGTTTAGAGGCATCTGTTATAGGGAGGTCTGGATTTGGGAAGTCCCACTTCTGTATTGTGATGCTGTCTAAAGTAATCCTTAACTTAGTCATGCTTAGGTGATAATATACATAGCATAGGTTATGAGGTGTTTGCCTAAATAGACCGATGGTACAATATTTAGTTATACTGTACAGTACTGTCTAAAGTTAGTTATGTTTTAAATATTTTATTTTAATTATATATTTATATACACAATAGTTCTTACATTCTTGTAAAGCCACTGGCACGCATAGCATTTCTGGCAGGTCCTTAATTCAAATTTTCCCCAGAGTATGACCTGCCAAATTGTTTGACAACCAGGTACCCATTCACTGCTGGTTGAACAGAGGATACAGTTAAGGATTGGCGCCCAGTCAATTCTCCTCGGCAATGATACGAACCCAGGCCAGAGTGCTTGCAAAGCGCCAGGCGAGTGCTTTACCACTGCACCACGGGGACTGCCACAACCAGCTTCTTAACCAGCTGTAATTGATGCAGTTAATATGTGTGGAATACAAAAGTATTGGAAGAGTTGATTATATCTGGACACAAGGTGGATAGTATTTGACCAATAATATACCTGCTCAAATAGTAGTATCAATTATAGATAAATAATCAAATTTTTTATTTGATCTTTTTCACTTTTCTAATGTTATGAAACCTTTTTATATCAAATTTTCATTCCAGTAGGTTAATGATTTTGTTCCTGGAGGTGCTAAGAGTTTTTGCATATCTGTAGATCTTTGACAAAAAAAAAAAAGAGAAAAAAAAGGAAAGAAGGGCATACAGGTGTCTTAAATTTTGTTCACTAATATTTTCTTACTAGTAACTATGTACTCATATTTCTTGTTTCTTGTTTACTTCTCACATTCGTCTCATCCTTTTGCAACTGAAGCATTTTTGGATGGCTGTTGCTTAATTAAGCTTTAAATTGTTACTAATGTGAGCTGTAAAAAATACAATTCTGTAATTTCATATCTGGTACTCAACACTTGTTTTAAATTATTTATAGTTTTATGATAGCATTAGCACATCAAATTTAAATCACTTGTATATTCAGTGGATTAATCCTTGGGTACATGAATGGATCTTTAATCAAAATGGCATCACTCTGATGGATATAAAGTTCAAATAAATCTTGTCTTGTACAGGACTGTTACGTGCAGAGGAGCTATAAAACGTGAGGCAATGTGCAGCCCTGATGACGCTGTTACTCAGAATGTTGGTATGTATTAGCTTGGTAAACTGTGTGTATTGGTCTGGCAAAATATTAGCATTTATTAACCTAATAAAATGTTGGTGTATTGTACCAGATGAGTTTTTCTTTTGTAGATACAATGTACAGTGCACTCTCCCAAATTTTGGCCCTAATAACTGATCCCTCTAACCAGTGGACCAAAGTCACTACCATATTTTTCCCTCCAAAATTTGGATTAAAAAAAGAAAATCTGATTCTGGAGGGGGAAGGAAATGAATTTCTGGATCTTTGGTTCATCATGTAAAGTAATTTCTGTCAAATCGTATTTTGCTTATTTTTTGGTAACCTTCTTGTTCATACGTAAATATTATTCACAGTAATGCATTTTATATTTTAGAAATGTTTTATTAAGCTTGTTATTGTACAGTACTGTAGTACTGTTCAGTATAAATTGCTCAACCGAGGTTCTTTGTGACTATTTTTCCGAGATATTCAGACCTACTGGTAGGACTTGCATGCTGAATGCGTGTTTTCCGTTTATGCGAGTGTGGACTTGTCTCATTATTCAAGCATTTACATGAAACGTTTCTCCTGATTTGCGAATTAAAATCGTTTTGAGGCAATAGTACTATGACTACATGAAATAAGGGTGATAGACATTCCTTACCATGGAAAATAGGCCTAGTTATTAGAAAAATGTGAGGATAATCACATTTTTTTAATGTTTTTTTTGTTTTGCATCTTTTCCAGAGGTGCAGGTATCTTCAGAAGAGCAAAAGCAAGTAAACCCACCTTCCATATGGGAGACGATAGCTTCTTGGGGTGTTAACTACATGCACATACCTTCAGAAGTGAAGATAGGGTATTACTTCATCACCCTTCTAATGTTGTCCTTGGTTAAAGAGTCCATTGATGTACCACATATTGATATGCTGACTGGCAAGCATAGTGTTTTGAATACGGTAAGTGAAATATTGTATACAATGATGGAAGATGGTTTAAGCAACTAAAAACTTAAATAATATATTTGTGCACATATGCACACATCCACTTGCTACCCTTTCCTACCAGACATACGTGCACTATGAAAAACATATCATAGTACAAATTGAGTTCATGCGCAGTTCATGTTGGCCAACTTATAATGGTACAGTATTAGAATAAAATGGGCAGAAAAATGCTAACATTATTCATAATGCTTGTATGACCAAAATTGGAGTATACATAAGTGATGTGATGCCCTTACCTGAAGAAACACACCCACTAAGTTTGAGTACAGAGGCAAGCTACTAGGTAGGTACTGTAACCAATAGATTTGTTATTTAGAAAAAGGTGCAGATAACTAAAGCTAACTTTTTCTGGATGAGAAGGAAAAATGGGTAAAATAATCACTTTCAAAATAATTCAAGGTCCTGTAGAGAAAAGATGGGTAGGAAAATTATATTAGCTTGTACAACCAATGAAATAAATTTACTATATAACTATACTATTTATTTTATTGGTTGTACTATAGGTACAACCAATGAAATAAATTTAAGATACCGAAAAATTTGCTGGTGAGATTATAACTATTTTTTAAAGTTGTGGATGCCTGGAATGCATCTGCAAAATGGTAGAATGAGATGGCATGTGCAAAAATATTAACATTTTGTAATAATAATAATTCATTGTTATTTGGGACTGGCATCAAGTGTGTGTATATATTTTAGATTTATATTGAGGTCCCCTCTAAGGTCAGACTACTGACCCTTCCCAGGACGCAACCCCACAACATTTTGACTAATTCCTGGGTACCTATTTACTACTAGGTGTACAGAGGCATTAGGGGATAGGAAATGCTCTCGGCCATTTCTGTCCCGCCTGGGATTTGAACCCGGAATTTACCATTGTAAGTCAAGAATGAACCTGACTACTACTGGAACTCTGAATAAATAGGGTCATGGTAGCACAATCAGATATGTTCTCAACTCGATCAAGAATTCCAGGTTCGAATCATGGGCAGGACAGAAATGGTTGGGCACATTTCCTATCACCTAACACTCCTATTCAGTTGGAAGTAAATAGGTACCTAGGAGCTAGTCAGCTTGTTGGGAGACTGCATCCTGAGGAGAGGCAGTAATTTGACAATGGGGGGGGGGTGTATTTTGATATACTGTATGATGATGGTTAAGATGAAAAGTCATTAATTAGAATAGGTAAATATTTAGCACCTATTATGTGCCTAGATGTCCCCAAACTGTTTGCTGTCTTGGTCTGTCTTGCCTGGCTATGTCTGGGCTGCAGAGCTCCCTGTCCCTACCCTGTTCTCTCTTTTCTCGTGGAAGTTGGCAGGCTGTCTTCAGAGCAGTTTGAGAATTGGTTACCTGACTAATTGAGATCCTGGATCACCTGGGCCACTATCTGGTGATAAGCAGCATTTTAAGGAGAGAATTTTCTTGCATTAACAATTGTTCACATTATTTTTGTCAGGGTTACCTTACCTTATAGTTACCTTGCATTGATTTCGGGGACCAGTGTCCCAATGGCCCAGCCTCTGATCAGACTGTCCATTTGATGGTCTAGTCAACCAAGCTGTTGGACACGGCTGCTTACAGCTTACATATGATCAGGTACAGCTGTTTGCAACCTGGTTGATCAGGTATTCTTTGGAGGTGTTTATTGAGTTCTCTCTTGAACATTGTTCAAGAGAGTATATGGCCTAGTACTGTACAGTACACACTTTATACCAAAGCATCCCCAAAATTTTCAAGCAGTTGTTCATTTTGGAGCACTTTGACACTTCTATATTTTGCTCATTTCGGTGGTGATCTCTAATTCTCAGGCTTTCCTTTGTTTCTTGAGTGGACCTGGTTCTTGTTTCTTGATCCCTGGTAGACACTCATGGACCTTCAGAGACCTGGCATGTTTGAAGAGTTGGTGGGTATGGTTTTTTGTGCTCCTGAGAATGGCAAGTAGTGAGTGAATGGATTGATGGCACTTAAAAACTTTTAATGTTTAATCCAGTTTTCTTTGAATACTGTACAGTACAATGCTTATGCTTTCTTCTAGAGGCAAAGACGTTCCTGCAACTTGAATGAATGTTAATTTGGGTAATGATAGTTTCCATTTTATATTCTCTACAGTATTTAATTTTTATATGCTCTTTCTATTTGTTAAACAGGTATTTGTGAAAAAGGGTTGGGGTATTACCTTAATTGCATTTGTCGTTTACCATTTGACATCACTTCCACTGCACCCTAAATGGATGATTGGTCTCAAACAGCTTTTGATTCGAATTGCTGCCACAACATTCTTCTTCTTCATTTGGTGTGCGGTGAGTCAGTGATATTTTTCCGTTCATATGTATTTTAATTTTAATATCTTTGCTAATCATGGCTGAAATTCTCTGATAGACTCCAGTGGAACAAGTCAATAAAACATGGTAATGTTAAGATTTATATGTAATCGGATCCATGAAGGGTATTAGAAGATGTCCAAAGAAGTGTCTTTACTGAGCCTGTTATTCTCTTGCTCCCTTTGGGTATATCTTGTTAAAATCTCCAGATAGAGTACTGTATATATATAAAATGTCATTGATGATAACAGAACTGCAGTATTGTTTGTACTGTATTTGCCGTTTATAATACAGGTAATGTAACATTACTTATTGGAGGCATGTTAAATAAACACCAACTAAAACTTAGAAGCTAATTAGGGAAAGGCAACAAGAGTGTAGTCAGTGCACCTAACGGGCCCCTGTTGTAAGTAGACTAATAAAGGTCAACAGTTCAGTATAAACATAGGTCAAGTAAAGTTGTGTTGTGTAATGCTCATTGTAATTTGTACACAACTGGAAGGTTCTGGGTTCGATTTCTGCACAAGATAGAGATGTTTGGGAATATTATTTTACACCTGATCTGTTCACCTGGCAATAAATAGGTACCTGGGAGTTAGACAACTGTTGTGGGTGGCAGCCTGGGTAAGTCATTTGTTGGACTAGGGAGACCTCAGTAAACTTAACAGGCTCCCTGTCCCCAACAATGGGAAACTGTGATAGATGCTAACTCTACTGATGGTTTGGAGTACCCTTGCTTAGCTATTGCAAATTTACGTCAGATGAATGAAGGATTCCTACCACTTAGGTGTAGGGTCCCTTAACTCATTCCTCAATTTACTTGACTTGACTCAATAAATTCCCTTCACACAACAAGCACTGGTATTTTTAATGGAAACATTTCTTACACACTTCCATATAAAGCCCTTTCTGTTGTGTTGACTCGGAGGGAGTGTCATAAGGGCATGCAGCAGTCAAGAACTACAATTTTTCATTTAATATCAGGTAATGTATTCTTTCCTCAAATCATCAGCATCTGAGTGGTTCTTGTTAATCTTGGGGAGGTTTTGGAAAATTATTCTGTGGGATATACCCAAAACTGCACGTGATGTGCAGGAAATACTAAGTACCATGATATATGCATGTATTGAGTATAGGGCTAGAGCTGTTCATACAGCTGAATGCACTTCCTTGCAGTGTTATGCTCTATGTTCATTTACAGATTTCTGTGTTCAGGTGCTTTAAATAGGCACAAAGGCAATCAAGTAGTGAGAATACATTATTCCATAGAGAAATTATGTACCGGGACATTAAAAGTAGTTGTTAGCTGATGTAGTATTTATATATACCAGTACAAGTTCTGAATAAAGGAAAAAGTATTGTATTATACTTGTACAAATAGAGAAGCTGGAAGGAGAAGTCTTGGTGATGTTTGATAGGGAGAAATTGATAATTATATAATGTGTACAGCTGTAGATGGAATTATGAAAGGGTAAGGAAGAATAGGACCTCTGTGAAATAATTCATTATTTATGTACAGTACTGTAATAATCAATTACTAATTAATGTTCTTCATTACAGGTTGTTTTTGAAGTGGCTGAGCAATACTCAGAGGTCTGCACATTTAATAACATTAAGGTTGAATTAACTAAGAGACAGTGTTTGAAACTTAAAGACCATGTGTACTATTCTTTTGATATTTCTGGTCACTCTTTCCTCACAACTTACTGTGTTCTCATTATGATGGAGGAAAGTAAAGAAATCCTCTACTTCCTTTGGCTGGGAAAATGTTTGCGTGGAATACCGACAAATACATCAGAGAGCATTGGCTTGGCCAAATTTGATGAGAAAGACACCAAGATATTACACTCAAGATATACCATAATGTCTCCCATTGTGGTGGTCAGTTTTGTGTGCATTGTTTTGCTGTGCCTTATCTGGGATTTTATGTTTATTATAACCACGTTGTATTACCATAACTTTCTGGAGAAGGTAATTGGTACAATCCTTGCTGTGAGTACGTGGTACTTCTTATATAGACAGCTATTTACGTATGTTTTTAAACATAAATTTTTTCTTTCTTAGGTATAATATATTACAATCATTTCCTGTGACGTACTGAGGAGGAAAATGTACAGTAAATTTCAAGCTCAATAAGTAAATTTATTTGTTTGAAAGAATTGTACAGTATTTGTTAAAGACATTTATAAAGTTTTTATAAACTTGAGAAAAAATATTTATTTATATAAATATATTTAATGTTATACCTATTAGCCAGAACTACACTACTTGGCCTAGTATGCAATGCCTGATTTGCCTAACAGGCAGAATAATTTTCACTATTTTCAAACATTTCTTTTCAAATTGGTTTATACCAATAAATATTGTTATAGTAAAAACTAGATATTATATACAGTGGTACCTGTTTACGAATTTAATGTTCCCAGAGACGGCGTAACTCAAAACAAATTTGTAAATAATGTAAATTGAATTAATCTGTTCCACATTCCCAAAAATATTAACTTCAAAATACATTTCATACATAATACACACACATGTGTTGTACTAGAGTATGTTCAAGTTACAGCTTACCTTTATTGATGACTCTTGTTGGCGTATGGAAGACGGTGAGGTTGGGGTGGGGGTGGGGGGGTGGGAGGAGAGGTGTTAGTGTTTGGAAGGAGAGTCCCCCTTCCATTATACCATCAGGTAGTGATGACTTCTATGGGGAACTCACTCTCCTATGTTTTGCAGGCATACCACTAAGTCCTGGCTGTGGCTCACTGCTTGCTTGTCTTACTTAGAATCTGCCTAAAGACACTTGTTTTTTTCCTACATTTTAACACTAGTCTGTAGTGAGACATCACATTGTCATTAAAAAGGTCAGTGCAACGGCCTGCTACAGCTTTATCTGGGTGAGATTTTCAAAAAACCTTGCACTTTTTCCCATACTACACACATTTTAATGAAGAAGGGACATTCCCTACTGTCTCTGCTCACAACTATTTTCTTTGGTTGAACCTTACCACTGACTTTCTTGGGACCCATGGCATGATATATGATTATTACTTTTATGCTCAAAAAACAAAAAAAGCACAAAAACAATTAAATTCTTTACAAAGAATTTGAGCGCAATTGTCACTAAGTGGGTGGCTCTGGTAAACTGAAGCGGGGGTCGCCCATGCCATCAGGAACCACGCGCTCGGCAGACCCATACGTGTATCAACAAAGTCGCAAGGCAAGGCAAAGGCAACCCGATTCAAATTTTCCAATGAAATTGCGTTCATAACTCAAAAAATTTATAAAAAAAGGATCTCCTTATCCCGAGGTTCCACTGTATGTAAATTATATATATAATGTTGTTCTTTAATTATAGTGCCGCCAACTAATTTCTGCTGTAAATTGGTAAAAAATTGCAAGAGCGAAGGATATTAAGAGTACACCTATATGTGCGCTGGTATTATACATATACCTTATAGCTAAAGTTGTTAGACATGGTGAATTTTCTTAAATATAAACTTTATCAAAATTTATGTCTTGTTTATTCGTAGATACTTTAATTTTCTGTATGTGATTTGGATTTCTTTTAATTTGACAACTTGACCTAACATAAATTGCCTCATTACAAAAATTCTGCATAATGTAGGTAAAACTAAGCCCAAGTAAATTAGTTATTTTGCAGAGGTATAAGAAAGCAAACAAAAATGCTGTGGCTATTAATTATGGTTTGGCAAATTAAAAATGATGTGTATGTGCCCCTATAGGTGGGGTGTAGAATGATCATTCAGTACCAGCACCAAACTCCAGACCTGAGTGCTACCATATCTACCTAACTAATAAAGAGTACATAAATTTTATTTATCTTTAAGTAGTGCTGTAGGAAAAAAGAATGGTGTAAATATGTACAGAACTCTGCTAAATAAAGTATTTTTTTGTGAAAAACTTTGTATGGATCTTAAATTAATTCCCCAGTGCTCGATTGCATTTAAACTGTTTGGCTGCGTACACACCGCAACGTTTTCTTCTCGCCAAGGAAAGAAACGCAAATAATTTTTTAAATATTTATTTTTATTGTTAATTACATTTTTAAAAAGATAACTGCTGTTTCAACATCTTTAAAAACATTGACAATATTTAATTTTTGTCTTAGTAAGGTACCAGTACATAGATTATCATAAGCCTACCAAGGAATCTTAAATATTTGTGTCTATGAATGTTTCTACCATCAACTTTGATTTGTTTTTAATTTTTATTAGGTTTTTAGTAATAAGACTACTATTTTTATATTTGCTATTACAGGTAATCATGAAAGCATTCATAATGTCTAGATTTGAACAAGAAAACACTAATTGATGAAGTTATCACAATCTTTTTAAACTGACTCATTTTAGTATGCTTAATTATTTACACAAAATGGAACATTGTACAAAACATTATATGCATTCATTACAGTATTTCTAAAAATATTTTGATGTATTTTGAGTAAAAAAATATTTTGACAAATGCATTGAAAAATGCATTTAGCATTTCTTTATTTTTCAATGTGGTTTTCCACATACCTTTACATTACTTTGATCAGTGTTTTCATGATCGTTGTTGCATACAGATGTATTTGTCTCTCCTACTTTGACAGGGTAAGATAGCTGCTATAGAAATTAGTGTGTTATTAAGCACTTAACCACAGAGGCTGATTAAGATGCTTTAACAAGCTCAGGTTACATCACATGCATTACAGTCAATCTTGGGCACAAGTCCAGTATTCAAATACAGTAGTATTTACAGAGTTCAACATATCTCAACCCAGCAGGAGCAAAAATGAGTTAGTATGGGATGTTCCATAATATTAATGTTCATGTCTGCTCTTTCACAAAGCAGACACATGGTGTATTCAACATTTGAGTTTTGAATTTTTACCAGCGTACACTCGCATATTGTTTTCTACCAACCTCCTTTTTTGTATTTTGTCATTTTATTTTATTTAAAACTTCATTACACAAAGAGGGTTACAATATTGGGTACATGCAAGGTACAAGGCTACTTGTCACAGGTTGTAGTGACAAGCTCTTTCCAGCTCCTCAGATGGCAGGCAGGAACCATGGATGCAGTCAGTGTGTGTGTTTCCTCTATTTATCGCAACACTAAGGTGCTGAAAGAGGAAACTGGTAGCTCTAGGATCCTTAATAAAACTGACAGCTCCCTCAAAAAACTAGCAGCACTTTTACCTCAGGCAACAAGTGTCTGAGGGAATGGATTCAAAATTGCAATTGCAATAGTGATCAAGATCTCTGTATTTACAAGACTTGGTTGCTTCCCGGTAAGTGGCAGCACAGCTTGGGTGTGCAACAGTGAAGTCAACAAACACACACACACAAAGTTGATTGACATTTGAGAGGCGGGCCCAAGGAGCCAGAGCTCAAACCCTGCAAGCACAACTAGGTGAGTACACATACACAAACACATTGGGTTTGTTCCGGATTGTAAATTGGGAATCCCAGGTTCGGTTCCTGGGAGTGAGAGAAATTGCTGTGCAGGTTTATTTTCACCTAATGCCCCATTTCACAAAGTAGTAAAGTAGTACCAGGGAGTTAGTGATCACCTGTTGCTGGGAAGGCTGGACACCACGAGCGTAGCTCTCATCCTGTAACTACACTTAGGTAATTACACACACCAAATTGATAAAGAGGAATTCCTGACACCAGCAATTTCACCAACAAGAGGACACAGATTCAAGCTAAGGAAACAAAGGTGCCGAAAAAATATTAGAACGTTTTCTTTTGTGAACAGAGAGGTAGACGGTTGGAACAAGTTAAGTGAGGTGGTGGTGGAGGCCAAAACCGTCAGTAGCTTCAAAGCGTTATATGACAAGAGTTCTGGGAAGACGGGACACCATTAGCATAGCTCTTACCCTGTAACGACACTTAGGTAATTACACACATATACATACTGGCTGCCTGTCCCCTGACAATGAATTATTATTATTATTATTAATTAAATCCCGTGTTTCGACCTCCACAGCCTCGTTACTCTTAAAATAAAAATTGTTCTCCTGTGCCTGGCAACAATTCCCTACCCCTTCCCTGCCGTCCTTTTGAACTTATGGACCGTTTTAGTGTGTATGCAAATATGCTCTGCTGTATAATTCTACCATTATTTCAACAAAGGCTTTGTTATGCTAAACCGTTATCAGTACTTTGCCTCCGAAACTGTGATCAAGTGACAAGAAGCTGGTTAAGTCTTGGCGCTCTAACACTAAATCAACTCTCCACAATGTATTATTCTGCTGTCCCCATTTTACCTCTCACCCACATAAAGATATTTTTTCCCACTTAATGTAAAGTAAATAGGCAGAGGACGAGTACACACCAAACACCACTTGGAGACAACTGGAGCTCAGGTGGCCAGTCCACAGGAGACCCGCAGCCAGACACCCAGCACCGGTCCTTCCCCTCGTCCTCCTATTCTGTCCTCGTATTCCCTCAACGTGCTATATGCTCATGTACTGACTAGAGCTTCCTCCTGATAATTATCTGTCTTGTCTCTCATCTATACAGAATAATATATATATATATATATATATATATATATATATATATATATATATATATATATATATATATATATATATATATATATATATATATATATATATATATATATATATATACATATATCTGTGTATCTAATAAATAATAATTATTATTATTGTTATTATTTTCGTTATATTAACAACAAATAAATTCATAACACTTATTCTGCATCATGTCAGGACGGGTCTTGCCTTTTTTATTATATTATATATTTTATAATTATTATGATCAGTGTAAGGCTATTAGTTTGACATTTTCTTATATAAAATGAATAAATGATGTTTTGTAGACTTAGTCCATTATAAATGTTCGTCCATTCATGAATAATTTTGTTCTTGTTTGAGGTGAATTCGATGATGAGCACAAAGGAAGAATTGATGGGGATCTTTGAGCAAGAAATATTTTTAATTCTCTCCATGAAAATTGAAAGGGAAAGAGAGGCAATTTTAAATAGATAATAATAATTAGTTTTGTCGAAAACAGGAAGTACGCGTGTGTGTACTCACCTAGTTGTGTGTGTGTGTATTTACTATATGTATTTACTATTTGTTTCTGCAGAATCAAACAACCTTTTGGACCCCACCTTTCTAACCAATGCATTTTTCCTATAAATTTCTTTATATATTTATTTATTCGAGATATATTTCTCTAACACACGCGTACACACACACTCGATCCAAGAGTCAATGCTCAATCCTGCAGGCACAAATAGGTGAGTGCACGCACACACACGTGGGCGCTAGTAACTGAGTGGCGGGTTCGATTCCCGGCGCCGGCGAGGAACAATGCGCAGAGTTTCTTTCACCGTAATGCCCCTGTTACCTAGCAGTAAATAGGCACCTGGGAGTTAGTCAGCTGTTACGAGCTGCTTCCTGTGTGTGTGTGTGTGTGTGTATTCGCCTAGTTGTTAGTTGTGCTTGCGGGGGTTGAGTTCTGCTCTTTCGGCCCGCGCGACCGTTTCTAACTACTACTATTTTTGCCACACACCCCAGGAAGCAGCCCGTGACAGCTGACTAACTCCCAGGTACCTATTTACTGCTAGGTAACAAGGACATAGGGTGAAAGAAACTGCCCATTGTTTCTTGCCGGCACCCGGGATCGAACCCGGGACCACAGGATCACGTGCCCCACGTGCTGTCCGCTCGGCCGGCCGGCCCCATGTATGTATGTGTGTGTGTGTGTGAAAACAAAACAATTAGTTAGTACTGTAGCTAGTAACAGTTGATTGATTGACAGTTGAGAGGCGGGCCGAAAGAGTAGAGCTCAACCCCCCGCAAGCACAACTAGGTGAAAACAACTAGGTAAATACACACACACGAGCGTATCTCTCATCCTGTAACTACACTTAGGTAATTACACACATACACACACCTAACTACAAATTGGTGAGTACACACACACACACACACACACACACACACACACACACACACACACACACACACACACACACACACACACACACACACACACACACACACAGTGTCTTTTAGTGGCAGAGTGGTTGACAAATGGAATGCACTAGGCAGTGATGTGGTGGAGGCTGACTCCATACACAGTTTCAAAGTGTAGATATGATAGAGCCAAGTAGGCTCAGGAACCTGTACACCAGTTGATAGACAGAATGTGTGCGTGTGTGTGTGTGTGTGTGTACTCACCTAATTGTGCTTGCGGAGGTTGAGCTCTGGCTCTTTGGTCCCGCCTCTCAACCGTCAATGAACAGGTGTACAGGTTCCTGAGCCTACTGGGCTCTATATATCTACACATGAAACTATGAGAGTTGTATTGTTTACAACTTGAGTTGTATTGTATTGGAGAGAGTTGTATTGTTTATTGTGGTTGTTCTAAAGGATTTAGTCAGCGGTTCTTTTTGTTTTGTAGTAAATAATTAATTCCAATTTTTGGTCTGGGGCTGTTGGTTTCACTCCATTTGAAATTATATTTTGCATTACTCTTTCTTCTGTTTTATATTGTGCGCTCATAATGGATTTGTAATAGAGATTTATGGGAGGAGGCTGCTTTCCTGTTGTGGTTATTCTTCCCTGTTATAACACTTCTCTAAATGGCTTCTGATATAGGTGCTGATTTCTGGGTACTTATTCATTGCCAGGTGAAAAGAGGCATTAGGTGATCGGAAACGTGCCCACCCATTTCTGTCTCGCCCGGAAGTCGTACCCGGAAGTCGTACCCGGAAGTCGTACCCAGGAGTCGTACCCAGGAGTAGTTCTCGGACTGGATTCATTAAGCAGTTACGTGAGGTTCGTTGTACGTGTTTCCTCAATCTTTGTTGGTGTTCTTCATTTATTAAACAGTTTACGAGCTCCGCAGCACTGGGAGGCTGTTTATAACAATAATACCATTTGATTTCAGAAGTTCCGATGGTCGTAAATCGTTTAATAAACACATTCTGGTTCGAATTCCCGACTGCGAGTCGAGAATGAATCCAATTGTACTATCGAATCCCTCTATCTAAAAATGTAATTTATTTTTGTATATGTACATATGTTCAGTATAGCTAGAAGTGTGTCGATTTGCACAAATTAGTTACAGATTTTTTTTTGTAATCCTCACCATACCGACTAGTTTTATACGCACCATCTCTAGAGACTTTATACATACCATCGCTGGAGCGCTTATACATGCCATCCCTGGAAAGTTTGTTTACAAGGTGTGACTGCCATCTGTTGAGTAGTGTGGTAACTATGTGTGGTGGCAGGTGGACGCTGATAGTGTATCACACCTCTTGAAATGTAGTCTGGCAGGTGGAGGGTGTCACGGGTTCAAAATGGTCTCAGGGTCTTGCTTAAACAATAATAGTATGGATTCGTACAAATTACTGGACTTATCTGGCTCAGACTCTGAAAATGAAGTCATACATTTCGCTCCAATGCCTGACAACCCTCCACCCCAAAGAAAGAAGAGATTGAAAAGGTGATGTAATTTTGCTGTTTATTAAAGTTTAGGGATTATTTCTTAAAATAAAAATAATTGATGAATCCATAATTATTTTTAAGAGGTGACTAGCTAGAGTTCAATGTCTAAATGAACTATACCTATGGTTCACTGCTGATCTCTGGTGCTCAGGTGCTGGTTCAGTGTTATGTTTCAAGACAGTTTTGTGTAGCTAGACAGGCTTGAATTATTTTTACTTCAGGTAAATGTAAAATTTTAGTTAAAAGCATCATTTAACTGGAATTTGGAACTGAAATAAGTTTCTTTTTTTCAACTTTCATAACCCAGCCCCAAAATGGACATATACTGTGGTATCAGACCAGTGATAGTGAGGGGTATAGACTACTTGTATTGTGTAGTATTGTAAAGGATATGTTGGTATGTAATTCACATTATTTATGAAAACCAAGGTAATCCCAAGCTAACCTTTGGATTAGTATAATGATATAATTAGTATAATATCATTAGCATAATGATATATACTAATTTGTATTTATACAATATACATTTGAACATGTTACAGTGGAGCATTAGTTGGTATATACAATTATATAAAGTCACTAAATATAATACTCAAAATGTTTTGAGCATAATGAAATGATTAGATAATATGTATACAGGGTGATTGGGTGGGGGCGCTACTTGCATGTGGGTCCAAGTTGTGCTACACTAAACAGATATAAAATTAAGTTACAACCTACACAGTTCAAAATTAGTGTAAAAACAATTTTATAGTTGTGTGAGACAGTGACTGATGGCAGTCAGGTGTGTATTTTGAGGCCAGATTTTCTATCCCTAGGTTACCTCTACTAAGGATACCTCTTGTATCCTCTGCTAAGCAACATATCCCCTCAAATACAGTAATTATATAGGTTAAGCAAGGTATTATACAATATTGAATGGCTAAGGAAGCAAAATTTGCAAAATTTGAGGTTGGATAATGCCTACTCACATCATCAAACTGCTATAGCATTGATATATTTTTCTCACTTAAAAATTACACTTGCCTGGCACACACACCATGAAGCCACTCATCAATTAATAATTAGAGAAATGCAGAAGATGCACAGTGACCATAATGCAGCAGCTGCAACATCAGGATCACTGCGTTGGTGCAAGAATTCAACCAAGTATAAACAACTTATTTTCATGAAAGGGAAAATAGAAACACATAAGTACACTTCAAATCAAATCAAATCAAATCAAATGTTTATTCAGATAAAAATACATACATACAAGATGAGTTACAAACATAATGTTGGATTTCTAGAAAGAGATAGTACACACTATGCCTAAAGCCACTAATACGCACAGCATTTCGGCCAAGTCTAGCTGGCAGGTAAGCTGGCAACTTAAATCACATCAGACTTGGATACTCAAGCACTTGGGAAATAGTCCTACAGATTCTTGAAGATAAGAGAAAATGTCAGCACTATAGAGAAATGCCCAACAGACCACTGAAACATCTAACACAGTGCAGAGTTACAAACGAAATAAGATTTTAACTGAGATTTAACAATGTAAATGATGCTAAACACAAGGAATATAATCTCTATGAAGCCAACATACGAGTCATAAATACTTATCCACTGCCTAAGTAAGACAGAAATTACTAACATTTAATGGGCCACCCAGAGGCTTAGGGCCTGTGTAAGAACATCCCTGCCAACAAAAAAAAAAAGTTAATAATTGTGAGCAGTGTAGTTCTTTTAAATATCACAAACTTGTATAATGAGCAAATGTCAAATATCTTGCAAGAAAATCCAGTTCTCAATGACATTGAGAGAAAAGTTGAGGTAAACACCTCACTACAGAGGTAGGTCCCTCACAACGCAGCCACAAAGACACACACGCCTCCTTCTCTGACAAGGTACAACTGTCCTCTAACCCAGAGGACGGAGAGAGGCTTAACATTCTCTTCCATATACAGTTCGCCGTACTTGCAACAATGGCAGTTGAAAAATAACATTGAAATAATAAAAGTAAAACAAACTGACAATAAATACAAATAAAAACCAGACATTATAACTTTATGTAATGTTATATTTATTTAATTTATTTATTTATATATTCAAGAGTTCTTACATTCTCGTAAAGCCAATAGCGTTTCGGATAGGTCCTTAATCTTAATTTTCCCTGGGGTGCGACTTGTCAATTGTTTAACAACCAGGTACAGTACCTATTCACTGCTGGGTGAACAAAGTTGTTCATTAGGCTATCATTATTTTAATTTAGTTCAGTCCAAATAGTTTTTGTATATAAGTGTTGCTTTCCTGTTTGACTATATGAGGCTTGTATGAATTTTTTTTTATATCTTAATTTGGAATTCTGGTTATAGTTCTTGGTCTTCTATATTCATCCATGTTTCTGTGATCACAATAATATCTACAGTATTGTATCTGCACACATGTGCACTTGATTTATCTGTTTTATTTCTAATGCTCCTACTATTTGTGTAGTTTATGTAGTATAGATTTTATGTTCATTATTCTGTTATCATTATCAGATCAAGAATACTTAAAAAATGTTAACTTGTCTTTATTTCCAAAATCTACTTTCCAAGTATGGATGTCATATTTACAACAGTGTTAATAGCATTTGTTTATTTTGCACACATTTAAGAGTCGCAAAACTTCTGTATTGTCTTATTTCAGGTTAAGAGCTCGCCCAATCACAGGTCATTTAAAGCTCTACTGTACAGTAATGTATATGAAGTACTGTACCATACTTGTTTTCTCTAGAAGATGATCTGAAATTGTTTTTATAATGCACCTGTCTAAACCCAGGTGATATTAACATTTGTATAGCCAGTGCAGTGTTAATTGTCCCCAAATTTATTAGCAAGCAATGCTAATAAAGGTACTGTACATATATATTGTAAATTTATTTATGATGGTACAATGCAGATGCAACTGACAACCTTAATCATTAAATCATTATGGATGGAAAGGTGGTGGTTGAAAGAGGGAATCCATAATTGCAAAAATTCGTCTTGAATACAAGTAGTACAGTATTTGTACTTTTAAAATACAAAACAGACAAGTTTTTCTGACTTCCCAACCATGGCCTGGCCCAGGCTTGTCTTGTGACAACTTGATCTGAAAGGATGTTGCTTGGAGAGGCACACAGGATCTTGTAGTCTATTTTGCTTCATTCCTTATTCAAAATCTCAGATCTAGGTTCGATTCCTGGGTGAGACAGAATTGGCTAGGCACATTTCTTATTACCTAATGCCTCTGTTTGCCTAGCAGTAAATAGGTACCTGGGAGTTAAGCAACTGTTGTGGGATTGCATCCTGGAAAGGGACAAAAGTTAGACCTTGAGGGGTGGGGGGCACGACACAAGCCTAAAGTACAAATATACACAGGCTTATTATAATTATATCCATTACAGCTCGACTTGTCCATCACACCCTACAAAAGTTTGTCCAGTTCTCTTGAAAACATCTTGTGTTTTGCCAATAGTATATCGTATACTGTACTAGATAGGAGGAGCTTGCAGAGCCTTGGCCATGTGATGCCCAAGTGTTCTATAATTGTGCCTATGGCACCTCTATACTTCAGTGGGTAAATTTTGCCTTTCTTACCATATCTTTCACTCTAGTGATTTAAATTGTCATTTTGTTCTGAATATTTTTGATTTGGCATTCCATTTATATATTATGTGATATATATCTTGTTTTGTACCATGTCTATGCATGCAGTATATGCTCTCTAAATTTATTCTATTTCAGAAATCTTTCCTGCTTTGAAAGGGGTTATTAAGTACAGTACAGTATACAGTACTCATTGTGGAAAAACTCGAGTGATTTGAAATATGAGAGCATTGTGGTGGCAGACTTTATTTTAAAGGTTCTCATAATCTAGCTCATAATGTTCCTGGCTGGTGCTATATTTGCTTGGTTATGCTTACTAAATGTTAGGTTGTCAGTCATCATTATTCTCTGATCTTTTCACGTGTTTCGTGTGTAAGTTCGTAATTTTGATCATATCTATTTGGAATTTGTCACTGTTGGAAACAATGTTATTTTGTGATATCAGTTGGAAGACTTTATTTCAACCCGTTCTCGCAAATTTAATAAGTCAATATTGACTTATTAGTTGCGTGCATAGGTGACATACTAAACATAATAGTTTCCCTTGAAAAGCTTCATAGAAAACACCGACCTTACCTAACCTACTTAGTATGTTAAAATAAGCATCTTATAGCTTCGTAATTACAATTGTTACTTAACCTATTATAGGTATAGGTTAGGTAATAATTGTAATTACGAAGCAATAAGATGCTTATCTTAACATACTAAGTAGGTTAGGTAAGGTCGGTGTTTTCTATGAAGCTTTTCAAGGGAAACTATTATGTTAAGTATGTCACCTATGCACATATTTAATATATTTATATATGTTTGTAGTCATTTATTGAGGTACTTTTCATGCAGATTTTATCATCCACAAAGGATGACACGACAATGTGGAATGTATTTTGGTCTGTGTCTGATAACACGTAACTGTAACTGTGCCCGTAACACGAACTGCCAAGTTCCCATTACTACCGGGTGAAAATTGGTTAACATTTAAGAATCTACACCCAGGGTTTGATCCCAGGTCAAATTGCTCACTCACATCAATTGGATGAGGTAGATATCCCATAAGCCACAACGGCACTCCTTTGTATCTACAAGTTTTGCATTTTATTTGAAGAGGTTATACATCATATAGGTAACATAACCTAGTAGCCTCATAAAATGCAGTAGCTGTAAGGTTATTATGTTACTGTGAGGTACATTGCGTACTAGATTATTTCGTGGTGTTGGAAGAAGAGCCCCGAACCATGACCTGGTGTACTCCTGCCAGCCAAGCCTCTAGTAAAATTCTTTTTCATTTATTAACGTAGAAGCGGCGTCCTGAAGTATTTGAGCCGGTGTCAGGGACGAGTCGCTTTCTTCCCGCAGGTTCTATATTGGAACCCATTTAATACGGAAATAAACTTGTAACCTCCCTCAGGCTCGGGCCGAGTCGTTCCTTCCATCACAGAGTGGGTCGCATAGTTTCAAAGCGTTATATGACAAAGAGTGCTGGGAAGACGGGATACCACGAGCGTAGCTCTCATCCTGTGACTACACTTAGGTAATTAGGTAATTATGTAGCATAATCACACGGGCACCAGCAGTATAAACCAACCTTCCAGGATGGTACTGCCGTAAAGCGGCCGGTGTGAATGTCGGGGAATTAATTAAGGCATTGAACGACACGTTTATTCTTTACTTAAAATAGCGTACATTTGAGAAATAGGGAAAGAACAGAAGAGGGAAAACGTTACGTGGGAAATTGAAAAATATATTATTCTTAATTTCAGTTTCTTCCGCGTGAACATAATTGCAAAATATGTATTTTCTGTCTAAACATCTGGACGCTCATTTTCCCGATATCGGGGAAATTTTAGTGCAGTAACTCTGCTCTGCAGTTATTTGTATTTAATGTATTGATAGAATATGCTACGAAATTCTACGAATTTCATTCAATCTAACGAGTATATTATTTGTGGTGTTGGCAGACGGGAGCGTGATCTTCTGCGAGTGTCGCCTAGTCAGGTGGACGAGGAGTCAGGGCGGTGGTGTGGGTGTGTGGGCGTGGGCGTGGGTGCTCACGGCTGTCACTCGTGGATAGCCAGTCCCGGGGAGGCTGTTCGATCCGCACTATTGTTGTTAGCACTCACAGGCCTCTCCCTGCTTACCTGGCTCGCGCTTCACCTTCAGGCTCGACTGGACGCAACTCAACACTTCATTACAACAGGTCAGTGTCTTCTCTATCTTTTCCTTGTGTTTAGCTATATAGGTATGGACTAGAGCCGGAGCTGCATACTTCAGGATTGGTCTGACATAAGTGGTATACGAGGTCCAAAACGATGCCTTTCGCAAGTTTCTAAAGGCAGTTCTTATGTTGGCCGATCTAGCATATGCCGCTGATGACATCCTTTTGATGTGGGCTTCTGGGGGACAGTGTGTGTGTCTGTCTGTCGTCTATGTCTCTGTCTGTCTCTCTCCCAGTGTATATATCTCTTCTTCTCCCTCTCCCTGTCTGTGTGTGTGTCTCTCTCTCTGAAAATCTTAACACATAAGTGCCGACGTCAATCCTCCAGCCGTCAGGGATCAGCGTAGAAATTACAGGCTGCGGCGTAATGAGGTGCGGGTATTACAGGCTGTGATGGTGACAACCCATCCTCCGAATTGACAGTACGGTTTAATACTAAGTGTAATAAGTACATTTCCTGACTGCTATACATAGTACATAATTGCACTTATGGGGCTGTTACATTTACCTCCCCATTTATTCTCATTGTTTTCTGTTAAGACACTCAGAATTTTAGGATGAATTTTTCAAGCTCAATTTCCTATACACAAGTTTTAAATATCAGGAATTTCTTTTTCAGTTTTATTAAACAATAGAGATTTTATACAAAATTTGAAAATATCCTGAGTTACTTTACAATTTATTGATATATTTTAGTTTTGTTTTATTAGTTTTATAAAACTGTAATATCAGTATAGCTATAGGCTAAGTACTAATTGTAATTAAGAAGCAATAAAATGCTTATCTTCAAACACTATGAAGGTTAGGTAAGGTCGTGTTTTTCTATTCAGCTTTTCAGGTAAACTCAAACATTCACAGTATATTTGACAGTACAGTTTAATACTAAGTGAAAATAAGTATAATTCCTGACTGTTATGAAAAGTACATAATTGCACTTGTGCTGTTACATTTACCGCCACATTTTTGGAGGACGGGCTGATAATTAATAAATGTGTGTGTGTGTATGGAGGGTGATGCAGGTATGGCAACGGGCGGGGAGAGTGTTGGGGTTGAGTTTAAGAACTGCCTCGTATGGGCCAACAGGCCTTCTGCTGCAGGCGATGAGTCACAATAACATGGCTAAAGTAAGTTGACCAGACCACACACTAGAAGGTGAAGGGAGGACGACGTTTCGGTCCGTCTTGGACCATTCTCAAGTCGATTGTCCCTTCACCTTCTAGTGTGTGGTCTGGTCAACAGGCCTTCTGCTGTTTCATTTATTGTTGTATTTAGACTGGACTTGTCTTGTTCACAGGTAGGAGGTGTACTGGTGTGTCCTGCCCCCCACCTTCTCTCTCTCTCTCCTGGGAAGGCCAGCAGTGTGTGTGTTGACTCTCTGGTGTGGTGTCTGTGCCACAGCGCTACCAGATCCTCCCTGTGTCGTGTTGAGGAGGCTGTGGCAGCGTCTCCTCCAGGCGTGGTTCCCGCCGCCGCCGTGCTGGCCAGCGGCTCCTCTCAGCCTCGTCTGGTTGAAATTGAAATTGAAATAAGTTTATTGAGGTAAAATACACACAAAGGGATGAGGTAGCTCAAGCTATTCTCACCCCGTTTCGTCATGTTTGTAGTTTAATAGTAAGGTAATTTGCGGAATGTTGCGAGAAGTCTGTTGATGCGATTTTGTCTTTGATATCGAAATGTTTCTAATGTTTTTAACAGCTCTCACTCACTCACTCTAATATAATGTATGTGGGTTTACCCAGCACGCTTTTATTGTATTAGGGTTTTCACCGTAAGTAACTTTCGTAAGTTATATACGTAAGGGTTAAGGTAAATAACTTTGGTAAGGGTTCGTAAAGGTATCTGGTTAGGCAAAACAGTTGCAGTCTTCACGGAGTGGTATACACACAGAGGTGACAGTTTACCACGGGTGTAACTGGCGAAGTTACAACCCTGTAAACTGTAAACCCTTTTCCTTCAGTACTCAGTGTTGAGTACTGAAGGAAAACTTCCCGTATTGGGACCCTACTGAACAATAATTTCGCCGACCTTCGTACACAACGAATTACTTACTATTCTGCAAATGTATATCATCACCAGTTGGGTCATGATATTGCTTTTTCTCGGGGCTTCTAAGATCTGAAGTCATCATCATCTTTGAAGACAAGTACCCTTATGGCATCGAGGCCTTCCTCAACCTTAAGTACCCTAAGCAGGCGACGAGTCACAATAACGTGGCTGAAGTATGTTGACCAGACCACACACTAGAAGGTGAAGGGACGACGACGTTTCGGTCCGTCCTGGACCATTTTCGACCATTGACTGTTGCCAGCTGATATCTGGCAACACCTAATTTTCTGGACTTGGACCCTTCCATGTGCCGTCATCAAGTTCCACCCGCAGCATATCTTTAGTACACGTTAATTAGCTCTCCGGGTCCGTCTTGGCTACACTCTTGTTTCCTCTGACCCCGTCATATCCGGTCCCGCGTGTGATGTTGTTGTTATAGATTCAGCAACTCGGAACAAGTTCCAAGTAGCACGGGCTATGGTGAGCCCGTAGTGGACTTACCTGGCACGGGAGCGGGGCAAGCAGCACGGGCTATGGTGAGCCCGTAGTGGACTTACCTGGCACGGGAGCGGGGCAAGCAGCACGGGCTATGGTGAGCCCGTAGTGGACTTACCTGGCACAGGAGCGGGGCAAGCAGCACGGGCTATGGTGAGCCCGTAGTGGACTTACCTGGCACAGGAGCGGGGCAAGTAGCACGGGCTATGGTGAGCCCGTAGTGGACTTACCTGGCACAGGAGCGGGGCAAGTAGCACGGGCTATGGTGAGCCCGTAGTGGACTTACCTGGCACAGGAGCGGGGCAAGTAGCACGGGCTATGGTGAGCCCGTAGTGGACTTACCTGGCACAGGAGCGGTGCTGAATGATGATAGTCCCCGCGTGTGAGAGCCTCACCAGTGCCTATTTTCCCTCTTGGCTCCCCATTTCCCATCTTCCCATCTCAAGAGATTCCCTCGCATTTCCTATTTTCCCATTCCATCTCCCTTCTTCACTTACCTTCTGGTTACCTTGTGATCGTTTCCGGGGCTTAGCGTCCCAGCGGCCCGGTCCTCGACCAGGTTTCAAACACTATTTTCCCTTCCATTTCCCCCCTCTTCCGTTCCTGTCTCCATTTTCCATCTCCCCCCCAACCCCCGCCGACCTCACCCTCGTGGTCCTCCTCCCCCCCCCCCCCCCCCCCTCCCCACGGACTGGTCGTGTTGACTGGGCTCGACCAATCACAGTAGCCCGGGGCGCTAACGACCTTCTAGCTCACACAAGAGACCAGGGGCTAGATTCACGCAAGCACTTACGAACCTGTACATCTTTTCTCAATCTTTGGCGGCTTTGTTTCCAATTATTAAACAGTTAATGAGCTCCGAAGCACCAGGAGGCTGTTTATAACAATAACAACAGTTGATTGGCAAGTTTTCATGCTTGTAAACTGTTTAATAAATGTAACCAAAGCCGCCAAAGATTGAGGAAAGATGTACACGTTCGTAAGTACTTGCGTAAGTGCTTTAGTGAATCTGACCCCAGGATAAAACACTAAGGGGGGTGACCTCGTAAACATTACCAGACTACGGGCGGCGTAAGTGTCCATTATGTCTTTTTCAGCTTGAGGCTCGCTAGGCTTGTTAGAATATGGCGTGAGCTACGGCAGGGGAGGGTCCAGGGGCAGCAGTAAGCCAGGGGAGGCAAGGGGGAGGGGTGTCTAGGGGGCAGCAGTAAGCTAGGGGAGGCTTAAGCCAGGCAGGGAAGGTGGAGACGGTTGAGGGGAGTGACGCAATAGGGGAGGGGTGTAGGTAGGGGGCAAGACCTCCACTCTCTGTTATTGTCGAGTGTGAGAGGGGAGGGGGGCCGGCAAGGGTGAGGGAGGGGGAGCTGGGGTTAGGAAGGGGGGTTATGGGGGTAAGGATTTAGGGGGGGGAGGGGGTTAGACGGGTAGAGCAACAATTTTCCGGCTGCCGGCCTGTTTTTCCCATTACCTAAGTGGCTGTACACTGCCACTTGATTGGTCGACCCATTTACGCACTGTTGCAGGTGCAGAGGGAGTTACGGGCGCGCGCGCGTGCTCACCTATATGGGGTTTTGAAGGGCGAGCTTCAGCTCCTGGGCCACTTGGGTTGTGTCGCATGCAATTTTAAATGTTACTATGGTGTTGGCCACCATTGACAGAGAAGTCTGTCAAGATCAAGGGCCCCAAGACTATTCAACACTTTCCAAACCAGCTCGTATCTCCTAAGGTTTCTCAACGTCATGTTGTTGTTGTTATAGATTCAGCTACTCGGAACAAGTTCCAAGTAGCACGGGCTATGGTGAGCCCGTAACTTACCTGGCACAGGAGCGGGGCAAGTAGCACAGGCTATGGTTAGCCCGTAGTGGACTTACCTAGCACAGGAGCGGGGCAAGTAGCACGGGCTATGGTGAGCCCGTAGTGGACTTACCTGGCACAGGAGCGGAGTCCCAACGTCAAGAAAACGGTCAATTTAAAGTGTCCTCTCCTAACCTACCAGAGGACCCACAACAGAAAACGGGACATAGTACGTCACTTTCCGCCAGCCGATGCCATTTTCTAGCACGACAATTTTTGACCTTAGGTAACGCCTACGATGGAAATGCGACGTACTATGTAAGAGGACAGATTGGTGTAAACATAAGGGGCATAACTTATATGTAAGCCTGGTACCTGATCAACCAGGCTGTGACTCATACGTCAGGCTGCGAGCAGCTGCGTCCAACAGCCTGGTTGACCAGTCCAGCAACCAGGAGGCCTGGTCGACGACCGGGCCGCGGGGTCGCTGAGCCCCGGAATCACCTCAAGGTATAACTAGCTGGTCTCTCACGGTATTCAAAAGATACCTTAACACCTCCAAACAATACCTTGTTAACGTAACTGTGATTCATACGCCACAATGCGAGCAGCGGCGTCTAACAGCCTAGTTGATCAGACCACCAACCAGGAAGGCTAAGCAGAGACCGGGCCGCGAGGACATTGATCCTCGAAACCATCTCGAGGGGTAGGTACCCTCTGCAGACAAGCTTGAGTAATTTGTGTGTCGTGGTCATGCCTTTCTAGCTTCTGCTTTCCTCCAGTCACATAAGGTGTAGTTCCCTTTTGAGAAGTCTCATTATACCGGGGCCAGGAGCTAGCACACGACACCAGAGTCTTTATAATAACCAACTGTTCTGGACAGACGATAGTCATATGTATGATTCTACATAAGCCCCATAATACATGTATGTAGTATGCTGTGTATCATGCGATATGTTGTGTATCATGTGGGTGTGTATCATGTGGTTGTGTATCAACCACCACTTGCATCACCACCACCTACATCATCATCATCACTTACAGCCAGAGCATCACCACCACCACCACCATCACCATCACCATCACCATCACCATCACCATCACCATCACCACCACCACCACCACCACCACCACCACCACCACCACCACCACCACCATCACCACCACCACCACCACCATCACCATCACCATCACCATCACCATCACCACCACCACCACCACCACCACCACCACCACCACCACCACCACCACCACCATCACCACCCCCACCCCCACCACCGGTGGGAAGGGACCTGTGTGTCCTTGGCCCACCACCTGTCATGGTGGGGGTGGTGGGGGCGAGGACTATGTGCCCTCTGCCTCTGGAGTGTTGACAAACCCGTACATGCTGGGGGGGGGGGGCACGTGTTTTTTTTTTAGGCTTGTAGTGCCATTGTATACGGGTGGGGCGTTGGTTTGTGTAGTGGGGTGGTCGCTACGGCGAGTACTATGGCTTTAGTCGACATTACTGTCGACATTACTACCACCACTACTACCACCACTACTATCACCACCATCACCACTAACAGTCCTTCATCTAGGCACCTCTCTCACTTTGTTTTCTGTCCTTAAGGTACTCCTTTACACAGTTCAGTGTCTTGATAAGTTATCCTAGCCCCCCTCCCCCTTCTCTCCCTCTATCTCCCCCCCTCCGTCCCTCTCACCCATTTTGAACACATGAGGAACTCCCGTTCCGGCTAGATTTTCTCTTCCAGCTTACCCCTTTTAATGGGTAAGAGTATGGTTTCCCTCCCGTTTTCCATTACATTAATATTATAATGTTCTAGCACTCTCATTCCTAAAGGAACTACAGATGGAGAATAGTATGAGAGTGGGGTAAAGCTGCAGTTAAGATTTGTGGTGTGTGAGTCTCTCTCTCTCCGCTATAGTGAGGGGACAGGCCACTGCAGGTCTAGAGGCAACTTAAGTGAAGTTAGAGGCAACTTAAGTGAAGTTAGAGGCAACTTAAGTGAAGTAAAAGATATAGAATCATTCCTCCGTTCCTTCCCAGTCTATACCATTGTTTGCAGATTCGTGCCACTGTCGGCACTTCCACCACTACCACCCTCAGTGCCACTTCCACCACTACCACCCTCAGTGCCACTGCCACCACTACCACCCTCAGTGCCACTGCCACCACTACCACCCTCAGTGCCACTGCCACCACTACCACCCTCAGTGCCATTGCCACCACTACCACCCTCAGTACCACTGCCACCACTACCACCCTCAGTGCCACTGCCACCACTACCACCCTCAGTGCCACTGCCACCACTACCACCCTCAGTGCCACTGCCACCACTACCACCCTCAGTGCCACTGCCACCACTACCACCCTCAGTGCCACTGCCACCA